GAATGGAGGAAATTGGACATTTAAACTTGTTATATTGATATTTTTGCCATCTCAACAATTTTCTTAGTTGATCATGTGAAATGGCAGTAAACTGTATTATTTTATGTAAAAAAGTTAAAAATGGAAAGAAACCCATTTCAGTACAGTGCTCTCTTGTATACATTTAGCATTTTCAAAGTATGACTTTGGAGTTCCATGAACCTGAAAACCTTTGCTAGTCACATTTTCTGAATATTCATGATACTAATATTTTATTATAAAAAATTGATGATCATTATGCTGTTAAGCATTATATAATATTGCATCAAATTGGAAGAAAGCACAATTTTGGGTGCTGCTGGCATGATGTCCTCAATTGTAAAATTGTGTACTGTGCAAGTCTGTATCCAATGGACGACACTTTGTGTTATCAAAATATAAAATTCATGATAATAAAAGAGTGCTAAATAGAAAATAAGCATTATGAAAATAAAATGTTTGAAAACGAATTTCTTTGGTCTTTTATTTTATTTCATCAGTATCCTTTCTTTTCCTAAATTAATTGATGTTTTATCTCATAATCTTCAATTCTAAAAAAGTGGCAAAGCCCAGCATTAAATATTGTATAACTGTTCATTTAATCATCACCTCTGGTGTTATTTTGGAATTTACCTTAAATATGAAAGAATTTCATAAAAATGTGAATTGCTGCAAAGTAACGCTATATAAAATTTGCTTTGCATTAAAAGTACAATCATTATTACATGTAGATGCATGCATGTCCTCGGTTGTAATGTGTAGTGTCTGTCCGTGTGTGTGTCCGTGTGTGTCCTCGGTTAGAATGTAAAATTCTTGTCAGCAAAAAATTAGTTTTTATAAAAAATTAATTTATAACATTCATACTCGAATAGATTTTACCCTAAATTGAATGTTTTTATTTTGATTTAACCAAGGAATAAGATGTCCTCAGTTGTATGGGGTTGTGCTGATGTCCTCGGTTGGTACACATAGACAAGTATGTGTGTGTGTGTGTGTGTAAATTAATGCTTTTTATTGAAATCACAGATGACTATTTAGAATTTAATTTATGTTTTTATCATCTATAAACTATAACTGTACACACTTTATAAACTTGATATACATTCTACAAAAATATCATTAGAAAATTGCACCCTCATAATTTCACCACATTTTGTAAATTCCCTAACGATCCCTATCTTAAATGCTTAATCAAATCAAACTTGCTCTACTTGCAAGTTCCAAAAATATCCTAGTTACCCCTGATTGGCCAACCAATGGCATGTCATCACCAGCATCAAGCAGTGGTTCATCATCATCATCTTCAGCTCCGTGTAGTGTCTGGCTCCTTTCTGAAGGAAGATCTGTCTCTCCTGTGTCATGCCTCTCACGCACCAGCTCTGACTGCATTTTCACAAAACTGATAAATACCTGTAAATAATAATTTGCAATTTCAGAGCCTCATGTTATGATTTCTTTTCTTAAAGGAAGCAAAAGACTAACATGTCTCTAAGATCTAGATAACTTAAACTTTCATAAAAATATCCATGTAAACAAATTGATATCCAATAGGAAACAACTTTGATCAAATTGTTAAATGATCATCTTTTCAAACTGCTGAAAACATGAACAGTACATCAGAATATTCAATCTACAAGGTAGGAGTAACTGTCCACAAGGGACAGTAATGCATGCTGCTATAGCGATAAAGAAGAGAAGAGCTATCAGCAGGTCAGCAGCATTCTGATAAATAAGACACATCAAATCTACAATATTTACACAATCAAAAACAAATAACCCTGTAAACAAATAATATTTACATTATCTAATGTATTCTGACATATGGAGTACTCCTCCACGTTGAGATCTCGTTGGGCCTCCTCCATCTTGGCGAAGGCAGTCCCCAGGGAGAGGGTGCTGGATGCGAGCTCGTACTGGACAGTGTTGTGATGCTGCTCCTGGAGGACGAAACTCATTTCATGAACAGAAAATTTGAAACACTCAAGTATGTTGATTTATAAGAAGAAATTGCATCAAATGAAATTAGACAGCAAAGTTTAGTCATGTACAGTCATTTAATCGACAGAAGAAATAAACTTATCATATATAATTTGAATTATAATTTTTTGCCAGAAAATATCATAAGGTACCAATTTTTTTATATTACCTCAAATCAATATGAAAATTGTGTAACTTAAATCTTTGAATAGCACAAAATAATTTTCTAGTCACAAAACATCCAAGATAAAAATAGTCAATGAGTACATTTATATAGATATACTTTACACTGATTTTTCCTTACCTTCAGTTCAGCATCTGGGAAATGCCTATTCATATAGCGCCTGACTGCCCTGACCTCTCTATCAATATCATGACCTTTGACCCTAACAGTTACGGTGTACCCCTTGCCAAATTTATTTTTCAGGTGCTGTATGCTTCCCATGCATTTGAAATGACCGTTCACCATGATAGCCAGGCGAGTGCACAGTTCTTCACATTCCTCCATGCTGAGAGAAAGATTCAAGTACATAAAGAAGTTAGTAACTAAATTTCAAACAAATGAATTATTTTTCCCAAAACAGTTTCTGTCGATTAAATTATTACCCGAAAAGCTTACCAAATGCTTAGAATGAATAAGGTGTTCAAATGTCACGATTTGGGAGAATTTTTCATTCTTTACAGATGTAAATACATACAAAATTGAATGTGTTTATGGCAGGAAATGAAACTATGAACATAAACTCATTTAACACTATCACTTAGTCAGTTTTTAAATTTAGATTAAAAAATGGCCACAAGGCAAACAGACCAATAAATCAGTAATTTATTGGCAAAGCCAATTAGCTTATCTATGTAGATGACTTTCAACACAGATAACCACCCTTAAAATAATTTCAATATTGTTTTCTTTTAAATAAACAGCCTAAGACAACAAAATCACTCTTTAACCATTTTGATGGCATGTCATTTGTTAAAACTGTCATGAAGACAACTCAGCAGATGTACAGACCTGTGTGATGTGAGGATGACTGATCTTCCATCTTTGATGAGGTTAAGAATTATATCCCACAGGAAGCGCCGGGACTGTGGGTCCATCCCAGTGGTGGGTTCATCCTGGAGAATAGCAAAACACATTATTTTATCAGACCCAATGCATCCATATACAAACTGAGGGAATAAGTGGATTTAAACCACAAAGAAAGATATTTATCAGTTATATTTAGAGACCTGCAGAGGCATTCTGTTTGAAAGTATTTCCCTACAATAGATTAAAATCCCTGAAAATGAGGTGCAATATATTTTGTTCACCTCACAGGACCAGAATTTGGCCAATAGGGGTCTTGTCTCAAAATTGGTGTAACTATATATTAAAATGCTATCAAAAACTCATTTCACATACTTCAAAAAACAATGCCTTCATTTGAGCAAAATATTCTGAATATAAAATATTACATTACTAAATTGTTTCCAAATACTATCACTTACCAGGAATATAACAGGTGGGTTACCCAGCAGTGCAATAGCTGTGGACAGTTTCCTCTTATTACCACCACTATATGAGCCAGAGAGGTTATCTGCTAGAGACAACAGATCAAACTTCTCCAGAGCCCACTGTACTACCTGAAGATTGGAAACAAAAGCAGGTGTACACTCCACACATTGATGGTGAGTTGTATTTACTGCACACTTGAACAGTTACAAATGATAACTTTAAAAAAAAAATAAAAAGAGGAAAGGGCAACAGAAATGGCAAGAAGAAGGTGATAGATGCATGTGATGTTCATATGTCCAAACACACGGTCTGTCCAAAAAAAAAAAAAAATGAAAATAAAGCATTCGTAGTAAGTGACATTCGGGCATAGTAGTCACTGCCTTATGTGGTCATGGTAGTCACTGGCATATGTTGGTTTAAGAATCACTGGTATATGAAGACATTATAATCCCAGATATAACTAAACTCACCATCTTTTCATCCTTGTATGGCACTCCCCTCAGTCTGGCATACAGCTGCAGGTGTTCCCTGGCTGTCAGCTGGTCATACAAAGCATCAAACTGGGGGCAGTAACCTATGTTCTGCTGGACCTTTAACATGTCTGCATGGATACTGAAAGACAATTGTTATGGCATTTTTACCAGTGAAGATGAGAAATCAATCAGAGATGTACTAGTCTGCTGGAAAGAAAAAGAAAGTTTCAATTGAAAAGTGCCAAACCCACAAGCTCTGACAGTTTCATAGTCACACATCTATAATATGAATGTAAAGGGACAAATGATACAGATATAATAGTTTTCTTATATCCCAAACTAAACCTCATTTTAGACTGCTGTCAAAATTCACAGTTTCACCCCTATTAGTCACACTAAAACAACTTTTCTAACATACAGATCTTATTTGTTTTTACTTTGGTAACCTTGTCATGATGTTTTACCTGTATCCATTGAGGAAAGCATCACCTCCTGTGGGCTGAATATCTCCAGTCAGCATCTTGAAGGTTGTTGTTTTACCAGCACCATTGACTCCAAGTAAACCAAAACACTGGGGAGAAATACAATGTCATTTTGATAAATCATCCTCATAAATAGCTCTAAAAATTTTGTTTTAAATGCCAGCAAATTCAGAACAAAAATAGTCTTTCATATCTCTTGAGAACAATGGTATCTTAGATAAGAGTGAACACAGTTTTCTTTACCTCATATTATCAGAAAATATCTGTGTGACATGGATACAAACACACCTGCGTGCGCGGGCACACACACACAAACACACACATCAATAGAATCACTGACCTCTCCCTGGGGTACTCCAAGGCACAGGCGGTCCACAGCAAGATGGCGACCTAGTTTTCTCGTCTTGTATATCTAATAAAATGTATTTTTTATCATATTATTATATTGTAGTCTACTCTGGTGGCTATCAATATAATAAGCAAACAAGTTTAACATGCCGTAATATTTATATACAATCATATATCTGTTAAATGAATTACTTGATAATTGTATTGTTTATTGTATTTGAGAGAAAATATCCACAGTCAAGGTCCAGAGTTTACCTTAGTGAGGTTTTCCAGCCTCAGCATATCCTTTCTGCCACTGCCTCTGAGCACCCTCTTCCTCTCCGCAGCAACATCCTCATCATCATCTGTGATAACTGAGCTTTCAACTTTAAGACGCCTGGCATATTAGAAAATATTGCTTTAGTATATACCACATCATTTTTCTATTGTTTTTTATACAACAAATGGGCTAGATTTAACTTTGTTTGCAATGCATAGGTACTTCTAATGTATAACTGCTCAGTAATAATGGTTTCTCAACTCACTTGGACTTGATGAAGAACCTGTATTCACATAGAAGTGTGATAATGAAGAAGACAAAGCCCATACTGCCCATGGCAGCCAGGTTCCTTGGCACCAGATCCCAGTCAAAGGGGGACATCACCTTCCCATACTGGCCTGGTGAGAAATACACAGTGTTTTACTGTATCAAACAGGTGACAACTATATGTATACACACATGTGCGTGCACGTGCTGTGTCTGTACATAAAAAGGGTTTTCATACTCTCAACATAAGATGATAAAATAGTTATTCTTGACTGAAAGACCCAATAATGTGAGTGATACACTAGATTTCAATCCACCTTGAACAGTTTACTTGCTAAATGTCACACTTTGGAAATGATGTTCTTGTAAACCATAGGAAGTTGCTTGAATTAATTGTCATAGTGTCTCTTGGTGTCACAGTCAGTTTTAACTGTTCACCAATTTTATATTAGTTTTACCATGATACCTTTACCATTAAATCTGTGCCTACCGACATACAACCTAGATCAAATTCTGATTAAAAGAAAATATTTCAGACTTATTAGAGTAGCATCCTACCTGTTCTATAATAGTACTCGTTGTGATACTCATTAAAGGCTATATCCATCAGACCTCTTCCCAGGCAATAGTTGGGAAATAGTAAGAAAACAACACTCAGCACTTTGTGAACTTCATGAAGATCCTTGAATAGAAAGAAACAGAAATAATACATAAGTATCAAAATTAATACTCTCTTTAAAATATTTTGCATTATGAAAGTTTACAGTCCTAAGAATGCACAGCAAAATCCTAGTTTAACCAAAAATTTTTTTCGAAAACAGAAATTATGACTGATTTTTTTTTATTTAGAAAAAATCTTTTTAAGATCATAAATAATAGGAATTCTGTGTTGAACTGTAATAAAAAGTCTTGCTCAAAAGGTGTGCTGTTCGTATATGCACATTAAAGTTGCAAATTTAACAAAATACCTTTTGGGAAATACACATGGAAAGAAATTATGCCCAACTTTATTTACCTTGTCATAGTCAAACATATCCAGTAAGAAGCTCGTGATGATGCATGTGATGCCTACGAATAGGTTGATCACGATGAGAAAGATGTACGCTGTACTGGGCTCCTTAAACACAAAGGAGGCTGGGTACATCAGAGGGGTGATAGACCACCTGAAATAAATGATATATATACATATAAATACATACATATGTAGGAGCATTCAAGTGCACACAGGGCTGTGAAATCCCAGGAAAAAATCAAATCTCTGGAGATATAATCCACTATATCTGGTCTTTTCCAACATACACACACATGCACACATTCACCTCCTAATAAGACGCTTAACCCCAAGGGGGTGATGATGTACAGCACATTGCAAAAGTTGTCCCCAACCTGGGCAGCCATGTGCCAGGGTTTGGATCATAGCAAAGAAACACATGGAAATGCACACACATATGCACACACAACTTCTGCAAACACTATATTTGTATTTATACAAAAGCTTTCATACTTCATACATTGCCCTGTGTTTGTGGAAGGAAACAATCAGTATTATCTTTGATAACTGACTTACCCATATAAAAGAAACAAGGAGACCACTGCTGGAAAGTTGGTGTCAGAGACGTAAGATGGGATGTCAAACACACGCAGTATGATGATGCAACAGGACATAGGAATCAAGTAGTTACACTGAAAATGAGGAAAGTATACATCAATATTATTATCACGTCTGAAGATGGTTGGTTGACTTTGCATTTGTTCTTAGAAGGTGCCTAACATTGTTCAAAATAGTTTAGATATACTCTGAACAAGAAACAATAACATTTTCCATTGGACAATTTTCAGTATTAGACATAAAAGGCATTCAGATACAAATACATACAATTCAGTTCATTAAAAGAGCAAGTCCTTATTTCTAAGATTCCATACATTGCATACATTATATACTAATTATTATGCTAATCTGCATGTGCCACGGCAGGTCAGCCTTGACGCTCCCGTCTCTGATGATGATTATGCTAATCACAGACATATTTTAAAGGTATTTACACACAATAAATATACCAAGGCTGTGAGTTATTATTAATTTCTTTACCATATCCCAGATGTAGTTGGCCAGCCAATAGATGACCGGGTCAATACCACTGACAAACTGCAGGTGCTTGGACTTAGTGGACCGTTCATATACCAGAAACAACACAAAACTGGCCGGCACAAAGGACATGGCACAGATGATGAAGATGGCGATCAGGACATCTGAGCCTTTCAGGCTGATATGAAATAACAAAATAACATAATGGTCAAAATAAAGCAATATCAACAGCCAGTCTCTCAACAGAGACCATGGTCTGGAGTTCACCGTTTTGTGCTCCAAAGGTGATAGCCAGCCCACTTGGGGCTGGGGGTAGGGGTGAGGGTGGGGTGAAGGTTGGGACGGTCATTTTTTTTTCTGTCAAAATGATACTTATTTTATAATGTATATCCATTCCAACACTGTTGAGAAAATTTAAAAGTATGAACCCATTTTAAAACATTGTCTGCCACACTACTCACATGGACTCTATATTGAGCTGATCATTTGTGTTACTCATAGGATGGTTGACGACAGTGATGCCATAAGCTGCTGGGTTCCCTTTCTTCTTGGGCAGATTTGCCCTCAGAATGGCATTGTTAAGAGTGTTCAGATAGGTGGGCATGGAGTGATAGCCCTTCTGGTTATACCAAACCTGAAATTTTAGTATTTTAATTGAACATTTCATGCCTGGAAATTTCCTGTATAGTTTTATATATCATAAGAAATGCCTAAACACTGTTGATGTTCAATATATTTTAGAATAAATTTGAAATTTAATTTGGTTAATGTGTTTACATGGCTTTCTTATTTTTATGCAAACTTTGTAACCTGAATTTTAATTCTAATATTACTCATTGATTAGTTCTACATTCCACATAAATTTTGGCAAATCACCAACCAAAAGACATGTAGCCTTTGCACTGAAATATCACATTGGCAATGATAAAGCAGACACCTTACCTTTGAGACCCTCTTCACAGCGATCTGCCTGAACAAAGGTGGTGCATGCTCTCCAAACCTATCAGGTACGTAATCCCTCTCCAACCCCACGGACACCGCGCCATACCTGTGCAGGCGGAAGGCATTGGTGGTGTGCAACAAGTACTGGGATGTGTCCTGACTGGTGATGTCCACTAAGATGTCACTGGTCACCAGCTTCTTCTCCTCGGGGTTTAAGAAACCAGTGAGTGGACATACAAACCCACTGCCGTCCTTGGCGCAGATGCAGTGGGGGTAAAAATGGGGGCCATCTGGGGAGTGGGTAGCTGAAGTGAGGATTAGAGAGAAAGTTTAGGGGATTATTAAGAATTGTATACATATTCTCATTAGGCAAACACAAACCTGCAACAAAAGCATGCAAGTACATTGGAAGATTACGTGCATATCTTATTTCTTGTGTATGACTGCATAAAAATGTACTTTTTCTTAATTCAGCTAACTACACAAAGTCTCTTTTTTTCTTGTTCATTTTTTCTTATACCAAGGTAAAGGGCAAACATCTATGGCATACTTACTGCTACTAGACTCTGTATCATTGTCCAGCAGGTTCAGGGTGTCTTCATCCACAGGTGGTGCTGTGGGGGGTGGAGGAACAAAATAACTCAGAGGCAGTCCCTTAACAAACACGCTCTCACAGCCAGGCTCAAAGTACTCTGCCAACAGCTTGAATGTCTTCTGGGAATAATTACCCGTCAGAGTACGCGTCAGATCGGCATCAAAGGCATTATTGATTGGTCGCTTGAGGATACAGGTAGCACCAAGTCCTGAAGGCAACATGAAAGTCTGGATGATACTGTCTGCCATCTGTTGAGTTTTGGTCTGCTTTCCAACTGCATTTGGACTGTCTTTGGCTTGGTTGTTGTAAGGCACATAGTTTCCTCTTGGCTGAGTGTAGTTGTAGTACTGAGCTGGACTTAGAGTTAATGGAGGTAGATTGCGGAGCTTTGGCGCCGAGAGGGCTACTGTCATGGCGATTGCAACAAACAAGGCAGGCAACAAGATCTGGGAGAAGAGGCCCTTCCAGTTTCTTCGTATGTAGTAGAACCGCTTCACAATGACAGCCAGGAGCTGCTGGAACCTCAGCATGCCACCAGAGACTATGTATGATCCTGCCCCAGGGTGTGGCTGGGGTTCATGGTCACTGCCTGCAAATAGTACAACATATGTGACAAGGATGAAGATAATTCTATAAAAAATTCAAAATATCATTTGTAAATGTTTTGTGTCAAATCTCAAAAACAAAATACATCAGGTCTTCCAATAAAAATGTAAAATTTAATTTGAAGTAAATATATTCCTCTCTATGGCACCTTGATAAACCCCTCACCAGCCCCCTCCCCATCACATACTGCATTACATACTAGCTATACTCTGTGTGTCCTCATTCACCAGCCTGGCATACTGGGCATGTGGTCCTGTGTGTAGAGACACATGGTGTATAGAGCCATCACTCCACTGCCTTCTGTGTGCTGAGGTTGTGCCAAGGTCACCCAGCTCTACATCACCACCAGAGGACAGCACCGGCTCCAAGTCAATCATGGCCTCGTCACCATCACTTGCCTGGTTTGTCATGCCGTATGTATCATCTAGGGGAAACTGGATGGTCTGATTTTCTAAGTTCTTCACTTCTTCCTCATCTGAAGCACAAAGCAAGACAATATGCTCAAGTAGTGGTCGAATTATTAATGGACGGGATCATGAACCCACTTCACAAAATAACGTAAGAGCAAAATTTGGTCCAAAATTTTGGACCAGAAATTTTGCTTAATTTGACCAAAGAAATCAGTGGTTGTCAGACTAAACAAAGTATTGCACCTCTTTTATAACAATGAAGACATGGCTGCTGTTTACTTTTTTTTAATGCACTACTTCAGATTTATCCTGAATTAATACTCATATTTGAAGATCAACTTTTGGTCTGAAATTCTTATGTGAGACTGACCAAAGACAACAGTAGCAACCTAGTATCATTTCTTCAAATTATGAATTTCACACACTGTCAGGTGAAAAAAGCAAAAGAGTCAATTCCAAAACCCAAAAACTCCACAACCACTATGCACTCAGGATACCATGCACACTGAATTCACTTCAGCCATACCCAGTTCTGGATTCTTTTTTGGTTTCTCGGTCACTGTTAAGAACACCTCCTCCAGCGACGTGTCCATCACCCCATAACTGCTGATGTCCAGCTGGTCCAGGTGAGAGTCCAGTGCATGGAACAGTTTCTCAAAGTTCCCCTTCTTGGCCTCTTCAAAGGGCAAGATGTAATGTAGCTCGTGATTGGTGGCTTTGGTTATGTAGGCCGTGCTGACATATTTTTTGACAAACTCTGTGACTGTATCTTCCACGCAGTAAGTTATGAAGGAGCTTGAGGGGTGGATTGTATCTGGTTCATCATCTGTGAAAGATAAAGGCATGTTTTATAAAATTGCTGCTGAACATATGGCGACATATGCTCTAGAGGTTCTAACCAAACAAATTCACAAGTGCAATATCAATTTGTGAACCATGTCTAATAATGAATTCGTTTTGCCAAAGTAAGTGTAAAACACTAAAGGCTCCATTTTTCAGATTTATTCTATAATTTGTGGCTCAGTAAGTTCAGGTATAAATTAGGGATAAAAATAAAATAATGAGCCAACAGCACCAAATATTTCCCAACTTGCACAATAAAAAAAATCTACTGTTACAGTATTACTGCATTTAAGTCACTCAGATTAACAATTCATGATAGAACATGAGAAGCAAAAACAACCAGATAAACTGGGGGCATTAAAAAGACTCACTGATACTATGAGCATCCACTTCAGAGGGCTTCTTGACCATTTTCAGATGGTACCCATCCCCAAAGGTACTCTTTAAGAACAGAGATGACCCACAACACTTGAGCTGACCACTAGAGATGATGGCTATCCGGTCACCCAGGAGGTCAGCTTCATCCATGTAGTGAGTTGACAGGAGCACAGTACGATCTGGAAAACATCAGAATGTATTTCGTTTTACCAGTGTTATATTCTTATTGCAGCAGTACAGCCAAACAAATCTAAAATTTACCTTCTTCTTAATATTCTAACAGTTTGATCAGCATCTCTTTATATTAACTTTCAAGGCAGACTCAGTCTGTGCCAAAACCTTTTTAGTCTACAGGCAATTCAGGACACCAGAGCCTAAGAATTTACAAACCCAAGCGCAAACAGTGTCCATCAACAGAACAAAGGTATAAATTTTCCTTTCCAGCCCCTGAATTTATTGGCATTTGGTATGGGGCCAAAATCACCACTGCAGACTACATACATACAAATACAACACTCACCTTTTTTGTATTTAATCAGTAAATCCCAGATTTGTCTCCTGGCATAGGGATCCACACCAGATGTCGGTTCGTCCAGGATGACAGTCCTGGAGCCAGCTATGAAGGCAATGGCAACAGACAGCTTTCTCTTCATACCACCTGAGAGACAGTCCACAGGGCTGTGACGCTTCTTTGGCAGACCCAGGTCATAGATCATTCTAGATAGAGCAAAAAGAAAAACGTTTATGAGCCAAGATAAATCTATAGTAGTTTACCTAAATTAAATATTTGACCTGTTTTATAAGAAAAGAGGTTGATATTTTAAAATCATGGTCCTTAGTGGACTACTACCAACATATCCTGAATATCAAAAGGGAAATATTTGGCCTAAAAATTAAGAGAAGCTTTCAGTTCTAAAATATTTTACTAAGATCTTTTACATACTGGTCCATCTCAGCCTTCATGCTCTTGGCATCCATTCCCTTTAACTTGGAGTAGAACCAAAGATGCTCTTCTACTGTCATTCTTAAAACAAACAAAATGTATAGTTACAGAGAGCAATTACTAAAATATTAAATTATCTATGAATCATATATTGGGCAAACTGAAAATATATTTGGAAACACACAAATCCAAATGAACGACAGAAGTCATTGTAAATCTTGTATAACATAAAATAACATTGTCAAATCTTTAGAAGTAACCTGGCTACTCATTATGAATATGTAGAATGTTTTGATTCAGTTTCAAGTGTTTGGATTTTTCTACATTATAGGAAGTAAATAAATGTTTCATACTTGTCAAAGAGGACATTATGTTGTGGGCACATCCCAAGGCTTTTCCTGATGTCCTCCATGTCTGTCCTAATGTCCAACCCATAGATCTGGGCATAGCCTGCTGTAGGGGGAAACAATCCAGTCAGGATGGACCTGTATAATTGGATATCAAATTCATTTTAAAGTACTATAGGTCAGTTTATTTCGGTAAACAATTTCAACAGCTGCATTATAATACACTCAGTCACAATGATAGCTTCTTCACAACAACAGCTAAAATTAGTTTTTCCACTCTAGTGTCTTTCTTGTCACCATCTTCAGAAAATGCTGCTACAACAATCACAAAAGAAAACAACTACAACTGAGTGATCAATATGTTTTGAAGAAATTAATGTTATCATCTTTAAGTCTATATTCAAAATCTTAAGTCTTACATCTTTATGAGCTTCATATTATACCTATTAATATCAATAGCTTTTATATTCGAGATACAAAGCAGTTGTGATTGTGATGAAGGAAATCTCTTGTTTCTTAAAAAAATCTCCATGGAACAAAATTGCCATACATTGTTGTTGTTTTCCCTGCTCCATTATGCCCAAGAAATGACGTGATCTGCCCTTCAAACAAGTCCAGTGACAGCTTGTTCACAGCCAGCTTGCCATTCTTGTACACCTAATAGAAGAAACCATTCATATAAGAATAAAAGAAAATTATTTCTTTTTCACAGCACTCTTTTTCAAAGGAAACTGAGGTACCAATCTCACATAGATTACGACTCCCAAGGAGCCATTTTTCTAAATAAAACATGTGAGCAACCTGTGATAATCCCCAAGTATGACACAAATTTGTTTGAAGAAAAGGAGCTCATGTTCCCTTTTTTAGCTTTAGTTTTATGACTCAAAAAGTTGACAAAAAAAAAATCACACTGCCTTCACCCACCTTCACCAGGTTATCAATATGGACACCCAGGGGCAGATGGGAGGGGTCCCTCTCAAAACACTGGCTGTCATCTATAATGAAATGATTTACTAAATATAAATGACATAGCTGCAACATGTTCAGTAGTTGACATATGGAATATAAAATGAGATAACTGCAACAACATGTTCAGTAAGTGATATATTGATGTAGAATGACTTAAGTGCAAAAATCTGCATTCACCATGTTAACATCTTGAACAATACCTAATGATCTTCTGCAATATGTTCAGTACTTGACATATTGAATTTAATTGAATTTAAAATTAGATAAGTGCAACATGTTACAGGGAAGACCAAGGCACATCTGCTAGTACAATGTTAAAACTGCACAATTGGTAATAATCTTTGCAGAATTCAAGTGAAAATAGTGTGTTTGCCCCTTGGTGTGATGCAATTTTTAATGTGACGGTGTCAGCTTTGACATTTCATTGCAAAACAGCTGGGGGTATAATAGTTACATCAATATGACTTTTGAAAAGGCTGAATTCACAGATTACAGTCAAATCAATGACAAACAAACAATCAGCTATTTTAAAAGACATTCTACCAAGTAACATCTTTCTTCACTTTTTCGTACTTGACCCTATAACCTTCATGAAAGTTTACAAATTCAAATAAACACATGGTTTTCATAAACTTTAGAGCATAATCACACTTTATTATAAATCATATAACATCGTATCATGTCAATGTAATATCATGTCACAACACATTAAACTAAGTCATGTCATATTATGTCATGTTATATTATGTCATATTATGTATTATGTCATGTTATATCAAGACAATCGTGCTATATCATGTCATGTCATATTCTAGTTACCCTGTGGTCTCTGCTCCATAGCACAAGCCTGGTCCTCCTCCATGACAGACATATCAAACTGGTTACTTCTGTCTCTCCACCAAGACCACAGGCTACGCAGTCCACACGGCTTGTGTTCAGTGTAGTTGGCATGACCACACCAGTATGACTTGGTGAGAGGGAAGTACCACGGCTTGGGAAGACCATAGGAACCTGAGGAAATCACCTTCGCGGTTAAGTATTGTAATAATGTCAAAAGCAAGAAATGCTCAAACCTCAAAAATATTTCACTTTTATTTAAAATCAAAATACCTCATCACTTGAAGTTTTATAATTGTCTGATTACAAAAATAAAATCTGACTTGAGCACAATTTGCTTTCCAGAATCTTTTGTTTCAGAAAAGGACTTCAAACTGAAGTTGCTCTTAACTTACAGACAGGCTACTTTAGTCTACATCAGGACATATCTGTTGTAGACTACTTAAATACTGGTCTCAAAATTTAAACAAAAATTCTTTCTTTTTATAAGCAAGGTGCAAAATTTCATTTAAACGGGTTACTATACACCTATCTTACATCAAAACATACTACACATTTTGGCCTAAAACTAGAGACAAACATTCAGTCTTAATTTTTTTTTTTGAAATTGCCTTCAAATTGTGCTGTTCTATCTTACCTGGGTGGACATTCTCTATATACCAGACTAAGATCCCATAGATGAGAGTATCCACCAGCATCATGACAGTGACATAGTACAGGTTATACTGGTCCTCCTCCACTGGAGAGATGTTCATGTTGCTCCACTGGACTCCCACCCCCTCCTCCTCATAGAACGCAAAGTACTTGGCACCCAAACCAAATGCTGTGGTTGACATCAAAGACTGGAAGGAAATCAATGGAAAAGTCAAAGGTTCTTGGTGTGTTGAATATTTAAGACTGGGAAGTAATCATAGTAAAACCCAAAGTATCTAGTACTTAATAATAATGGACCACAGCATTATTATTTTAATACTTAAAAGTATATGGCAGTGTATGAAATTCNATGGCGACGACGGCGACGACGGCGACGACGACAGACGCAGATGATGGCTATATGTACAGACACATCTGTGTCTGTACATAAAAATCTCCATGGAACAAAATTGCCATACATTGTTGTTGTTTTCCCTGCTCCATTGTGTCCAAGAAATGACGTGATCTGCCCTTCAAACAAGTCCAGTGACAGCTTGTTCACAGCCAGCTTGCCATTCTTGTACACCTAATAGAAGAAACCATTCATATAAGAATAAAAGAAAATTATTTCTTCTTTCACAGCACTCTTTTTCAAAGGAAACTGAGGTACCAATCTCACATAGATTATTACGACTCCCAAGGAGCCATTTTTCTAAATAAAACATGTGAGCAACCTGTGATAATCCCCAAGTATGACACCACTTTGTTTGAAGAAAAGGAGCTCATGTTCCCTTTTTTAGCTTTAGTTTTATGACTCAAAAAGTTGACAAAAAAATCACACTGCCTTCACCCACCTTCACCAGGTTATCAATATGGACGCCCAGGGGCAGATGGGAGGGGTCCCTCTCAAAACACTGGCTGTCATCTATAATGAAATGATTTACTAAATATAAATGACATAACTGCAACATGTTCAGTAGTTGACATATGGAATATAAAATGAGATAACTGCAACAACATGTTCAGTAAGTGACATATTGATGTAGAATGACTTAAGTGCAAAAATCTGCATTCACCATGTTAACATCTTGAACAATACCTAATGATCTTCTGCAATATGTTCAGTACTTGACATATTGAATATAAAATTAGATAAGTGCAACATGTTACAGGGAAGACCAAGGCACATCTGCTAGTACAATGTTAAAACTGTACAATTCGTAATAATCTTTGCAGAATTCAAGTGAAAATAGTGTGTTTGCCCCATGGTGTGATGCAATTTTTTATGTGATGGTGTCAACTTTGACATTTTATTGCAAAACAGCTGGGGGTATAAAAGTTACATCAATATGACTTTTGAAATGGCTGAATGCACAGATTACAGTCAAGTCAAAGTTTCTTATGCCAGATGACAAACAAACAATGAGCTATTTTAAAAGATATTCTACCAAGTAACATCTTTCTTCACAAGAAAATGTCATTTCCTTTGATTAGTAAAACAATCTTTTTCCTCACTTTTTTTACTTATCCCTTTAACCTACATGAAAGTTTACAAATTCAAATGTACACATGTTTTTCATAAACTTTAGAGCATAATCACACTTTATTATAAATCATATAACATTGTATCATGTCAAGTCATATCATGTCACAACACATTAAACTAAGTCATGTCATATCATGTCATGTTATAATATGTCATAAAATGTATTATGTAATGTTATATCAAGTCATGCTATATCATGTCATGTCATATTCTAGTTACCCTGTGGTCTCTGCTCCATAGCACAAGCCTGGTCCTCCTCCATGACAGACATATCAAACTGGTTACTTCTATCTCGCCACCAGGACCACAGGCTACGCAGTCCACACGGCTTGTGTTCAGTGTAGATGGCATGACCGCACCAGTATGACTTGGTGAGGGGGAAGTACCATGGCTTGGGAAGACCGTAGGAACCTGAAGAAATCACCTTCATGGTTAAGTATTGTAATAATGTCAAAAACAAGAAATGCTCAAACCTCATAAATATTTCACTTTTACTTAAAATCAAAATACCTCATCACTTAAAGTTTTATAATTGTCCGATTACAAAAATTAAATCTGACTTGAGCACAATTTGCTTTCCAAAAACTTTTGTTACACACACAAATATCACGTACATATATCTACGGGGACAGTTTCAGAAAAGGACTTCAAACTTAAAGTTGCTCTTAACTTACAACAGGCTACTTAAGCCCACATCAGGACATATCTGTCATAGACTGCTTCATACTGGTCTCAAAATTTAAACATTTATTCTTTCTTTTTATAAGCCAGGTGCAAAATTTCATTTAAATAGGTTACTATATACCTATCCTAGATCGAAACAGACTACACAATTTGGCTTAAAACTAAAGACAAACTTTCCGTCTTAATTCTCTTGTGAAATTGGCTTCAGAATGTGTTGCTCTATCTTACCTGGGTGGACATTCTCTATATACCAGACTAAGATCCCATAGATGAGAGTATCCACCAGCATCATGACAGTGACATAGTACAGGTTATACTGGTCCTCCTCCACTGGAGAGATATTCATGTTGCTCCACTGGACTCCCACCCCCTCCTCCTCATAGAACGCAAAGTACTTGGCACCCAAACCAAATGCCGTGGTTGACATCAAAGACTGGAAGGAAATCAATGTAAAAGTCAAAGGTTCTTGGTGTGTTGAATATTTAAGACTGGGAAGTAATCATAGTAAAACCCAAAGTATCTAGTACTTAATAATAATGGACCACAGCATTATTATTTTAATACTTAAAAGTATATGGTACTTATTAATATTGCTGTGGTCCATATTTAGGACTGGAAGGCAACAAATGGTCCACATCAGGAAGTAATCAAAGTCTACAGTTCTTGGCAAATAAACAAAACCTATGTTTAACTACATGTATTTGGCACCAAACCCAAATCTGTGATCCACACTCGGGACAGAATCCAAGTAAATCTTAAACTAATTTGTTTAAGTTGTGGTCCACATTCTGAACTGAAAACCAAATCAGTGTAAAACTCAAAATACATTTAAACCATAGAACATTGTACTGACATGTTCAATAACATTGTACCATAAATCTTTATAATACTAAGTAGCCCTAGCCCTAAAAGAAAACCTGTTTAGGATCTCCCTGTACTTACAGCTATAGACTTGGTGACAGCAGACACCTTATCCCCTGCAGCCTCCTCCCTTATGGCAATGTACATATATGGTACATAAGTCAGAAAATAGATGATTCCAGCACAGGCTGCTGCCAGCTTGGCCTTAGAGTACAGCACACTCAGGAAAAATCTAAAATGTGTGTAAAATATTTTTTATAAATATTAAACATATTAACAACAGTTTTACATGTTACATTGTGGTAAATCAAAACAAACTGCTTATTAACTCTATTCTTTCATGTAAAATTCAGTACTTCCTACAAGAGATAATACTGAATAGTAGAAAAGAAAAACAGGCAATAAACTTGCAGTTTTCAATGCTTGAAATGATCACTGCCTTTATAATTTTGTAAGATATCCACACAGCCTACCACAACCCTGTGATTCACATACTCCTCCCCATACTTACGAAAATGATATGGTGGCCAAGGCGAAGCACTCCAGCACTAAGAACACCAAGAGGGGGTCACTGTAAGTCAGAATATTCCCATACTTCAAGATGATGGTCACCATCCCCATGGTAACGGTCATCTGTCCAAAACTGGTGATGAACCAGGCCAGCCAGTGGACAGCGTTGTTCAGTCCCATCATCTTCATCACCTCCTTCAGTCGCTGTTCTTTCTCGTAGACTATCCCCTGGACCAGCATGGCGACGGAGTAGACCCAGGAGATGGTCAGGCACAATGGCATCACATGCTCTATCATTAAGATGAACTGATCATACATGAAACAGGGCTGTGGAAACTGGTGAATGTAACTGCCAGGCTCTATGATATCCCGGCCAGTCTGGAGATTAATGATGGCTCTCTCCACCACATCCTGAATCCAGACAAAGCCAAAGAAGTAGTACTTGAACCCATTGCGCCTGTTGCCTGGGCTCCAGTAGCGCGGGCGCACAGCCTTGGTAGTTTCTGTAAATGAGGCGTTTTGGCGTATTTTGTAGACAACATGCGGTGGCAAGGTACCATCTGGCCTCATGTTGGTGAAAACAACACCTGAAAAATACACTCTCTTCATCAATAAGAGAAGAGCATGAAATTGTCACCTTTAACAAATGCAATGCCCACTGAATTATTTTTCAATTTAAAGATGCTATTCAATTTGTTGGACCAACCACTCAAAGCTGCAGAACTGTATGAATGAGGGCAGAAATGATAGAGGTGATTAAATTTCTCTGACATTCATAAAACACCAATGATATCAGTGGTGAAATGAATAAGACTTCTCAACACTTACAGCACATAAAAATATCTGGCTAGGGTGTTAAATTCAAGGAAGATCTGACACAGTGAAGAAAGCACTTACTAGCAAGGACAGTTTTATTTTGAGAAAAAGCTTTATGCAGTACATAGTCCACCAGTTCCTTCTCTGTCCTAAATCCTTCAAATATATTGAAACTGATGCCATTGACCAGGGTGATCCAGCTGCAGGCTGCACTGTCAATGCCGTCCAGTTCATGGAGGAATTCGTCTACCGTGGGAATGGTCAGGTTGTAGATGAATGTGTTGATACCTGGGTGCTTGATATTCAGCCGTGGCAGGATGCTGTACTGGTTTCTAATTGTAGACTGCATCTAAAATAGGGAGCACATGAGTCAGAATGTTAGGTTGCATCTAAAATAAGGACTATAGGATTGAAGAATGAGATTCCATCTAAAACTAGGATAAAACAATTCAAAATATGTAAAAGTCAACAAGAACAAAATTAAAAATTCAGTAAACTTCTTAATAAAATAGATATAAATCGACATCACATACAAATTGGTTCATAGTTACGAAACAAAAATGACCTACTTCTTGCAATGACTGCAAGTTTTGTCTGGTAGCTGATTGGTTCAGGTAGTCCCGCAGATCATATGACACTTTCAGCCACTGCTTGGCATACTGGGTAATTTCATCAAACAGGGCAAATGTTTCATTGGCCTAAAATTTATAATTAACATTGCATCATAAAATTATCTGCTTTTCTACAAAATATTGCACAGCATAACTTTTGACTTAGGACCAAGGAGCAGATCCTTTTTTACCTTTTTTTTTCACTAGGCTAAGCTTCAATATAACTAATTATGATGACTCCAATTTTTCATTAGAGAACTTTTTTATAAACAAAAGAATTTACTGTACAAAGTCTAATATGCCTGTATGTTTTAAAGATCAAATATTTTATGGCCAATATGCTGGTACCGAAAAAAATATACAAAACATATGTCTGGAACCATACTTTTTTCATGATGTTCTGCACAGCAGCAGAGTTGTTTGGGGCAAATAACACCTTTGGGTTACTGTACAACACGTGGACCAAGATTCCAATCTCAAATTCCTGCTCCTTAGACAACCCCAGAGACTCTGAAATATGAGCAAAGATGTCAGTAAATAATAAAAGCACAGTTATTTATATACTAAAAACACCTATTATTATTATTATTATTATACATTTCTGGAACTAATCTTGGAGGCTTAATTTTTAACTTTAGATCAATAAATCTTCATCAAATTTATCCTTAAATAGTAAAAAATTTTGATTTGAATAAAAACCTCCATGTGTTTTGCAAAAAAAAATTTTATTTTGGAGCAAGCTAAGACCTGTATATCAAAACATCAATCACATATCAACTGAAATTAGGCCACAAATGATTGAGAATTTGAAATGAAAATGTTTGTCACTTACTGAAATCTCTGTCTTCTGCAAACTGCTGTACTTGTTCGTCAGTGAGCTTGAAAGGTTTTCCACATATTGTCTTCTGCAATCCACTCCAGATTTTCATTAAACCTGCAAACTTGTTATCTTTTACCTTGGTCATCGTCTTCTCTGGAGGCTAGAAATAACAGTGTTTTTATACAAGTCACTTTCATTACTTCCAAAAAATATTGTCACTTCCAGTGCATGAAGCAGTTTTTCAAACATTTCATGGAGATACATTTGAAGAAAGTCCCCAGTTTATTTTCTCCTTAATAATATGGGCATCTCTCAAAAGCTTTTCAATAATCCTAAAAATAACTAGTAAAATTTCAAATTCACAGAAAAACCACACAAAACAAAAAAACCAAAACTGCATAATAAGCATAATAAAGATACTTGACATAAGCCTGGTACTAATAAATCAGAAAAACAGCTGATTGATCCAACAGGCAAATGATGGATTACAAAATGATACTAATCAACCCACCTCTGCGATGTGTACAGCTTCTTGAAATGATGAGGGAGTAGTCGTTGTTGTGGTGGTGGTGGTTGTCGTAATGATGTTACCATAGCGATCAATATTTCCTCTGCATGAGTCTTGGGGCATAGCTGATGCAAACTGACTTAACTCCAACAAATTTTTCTGGAACCATGTATACTTTTTCACCTATAAAAAGAGAAACATATCAAAATATTATTTTAAGGGCCAGTAGATAGCTGTAGCACTTATGCTACACAGGAAATGACATGAAAAACACTTGCTGTCAGTGAGAAGACAAATATCAAAAACACAACAATGAGATTTTTAAGGTTACTATTAAGTTGACTTGATGTTAGCTTAAGTATTTTACTAAATGCAAAAATAAGATCTAAAAAATATACATTCATTTTTACCACCTCATAAATAACCTTTCATGGAAATAATTGTAAATTTTTACAAGGTTAAACCTGTTAAGGGTGCATGTATACTCACAAGCACATGTAGACATGGGACATGTTTCTCTTTAAACTTTTTTGTCATTTCAACTGTTTTACAAACATCATAATCCAAGCTGTTGATGAAGAGACAGCTGCTATCAAGGAGATAATCAAATCCTCAGCTGTTGTCAAAGCAGCAGATATCTGTCCAACAGCTTAGGATAATGTGTTCCTATTAACATACTTACATACACATCCAGTTTCTTAACCCTCTTTTCTGCAGCCGTGATATTCATTTCTGACATTTTTAACTGAAATAGTGAGGTGAGACATTAAGTGATTTATTTAATACATATGCCCTCTATTACCAAAAAACAATACACCAAAGTAAGGGATTAAGAGAGATACTGAATATAATGGTTACAAATTTTATATATAATGAGAAATATCATTAAGCCTACTAAGATGTTTATATTGACAATACAGCAAAGGGTTAACACTTAATTATTCCTTTGCCAAAGGTTACTCACCATTTTTGATAATTTCTTAGCATCTACCATTCTTTGGAGTTCTTGGGAGAGGCTTTTCCACTGGTCTTGTGTCATATTGCACAGTGCTTTAAGGGCATGTGTCTGGAAAGAGTGAAGCCTTAGTTTTACTTTAATTGAGGAATGTTTTAATCAAGTGCAAAACTGAAGTTTCAAAACAATAAAGTGTTTATTGACATTCTTTGTTATTAGCAGTGCTAAACAGTTTTATGTGATTAGAGGTAAGAAATTAATGCATTGTGCAACCTTATTAAGAAATAATATATTATAATTAATACCATAACCATAGGACCTAGACAACAGTACACAAAAAAAATGCCCCATAGTTTAACTGCAACATTAATACTCATCTCTTCAAACTTTGATAGTAAAATAGTTTATCTCCGACAAGAAGTTTTATTGAAACAGTTTATCTTACTCAAAAAGTTTTTCTCTTTATTTCTACCATTGTAACAGATATAATATTGGCTCTGGAAATCAAGTTTAATACATACCAAAATTCTCTAGATAAAATGTCATAATCTTACAGCTGGATAATAAGGGAAATCAAAAGTTTGGACACCGCAAGTGACAAATTTGGAGAAAATTTATTGTTCAAGAGTGCACCCAGTATCCCAATAGGTGAGATACCTACCATGTTGTGGCTAGTTTCATTCTTCATAGGATGTAACACAGCCAGCATTTCTTGACTTCTGCATGCTGCAGTCTGCAGAGCTTCGGGAGACAAAACTACAACCTGAAACATGGAGGCCATGTATTGATTATGAATTTGTAAAAAAACTTCTTTTTCAAAAAAAAAAAATAATGGTGTGGTGTGTTGCAGCAAGTCTTAGTGTTGCTGTGTGATGAACACAAATATTAAAAGGGATTACTTTTTTAGCTAACAAGTGTGTTGAACTTTCTTGTGGTAATTTTGTATCACTTCCGTATCTGGTATACATGTACGTAATCTGGACTTTTAACTGTCCAGGGTTCTAATGAGAACATAATTTAGGTAAGTTTTCTAATGAGAAGTATTCTAATGAACATGGTCATTAATGAGAAAACTTAATGATTTTCAACCATACATTATGGATATGTTCTCTCGTAGAGTTCAACTGCAATTTTTTTTTCATTTTACACTGCATTGTCAAAACAGTCTGACAGTCTGAAAATCTTTTGTAAAAAGGGTCACAAATACACAAACTCTCTAATTTTAAGAGGCTGAAACCATACAGTTTCGTCTGCTTTGTTTGACTGTAATAAAAGATGAGCCGTATTCCATAAAAACAATCTGCAGTACCTAAGCAACCTTTGTTTCATTTATTATGCATGTGTATGATAAAACATGGAAACAACACAGCAACAAGCATGAGAACTAATGAGAGCTTCCTGAGATCTTTTCCTCCCTAATGAGAGACAAATGAGCTCTCATTAGCTAACGAGAACTTTGTGAACAGGCTCTAGTCCTTATGATCTCGGATGTCTTGCTGTTTTAATTACTAGTAACATCATGCAGAAGATCTATTCCTTTTGAGAATATACAAAAACAAGAAAAAAATTGACATGATATAAATATCCTTTCTTTATAAGCACACACAGATCATGAATAAAATGTCTTTCCATCTTACTTCTGTCTCACACCCAGATTGTCCTCATGCCTGTATCATGATTTAATTTCACATTAACTAAACATGCAGGGAATGTTTAATCCTGTCTAATGGGTTTATTCAAGTAAAGATGATAACCTTCTTAAAATGTTAATTTATTAAACCTGTTATAGTGACACAGGATAAAGTGTTGAAAAGTGGTAGCTTGAAACTGATCCTGATGCAATGGATTATCTTTATTTCTCTCCCCCCCCTCTCTCTCTCTCTCTTTGTCTCTCACACACACACACATCTTCCCCTCTCTCCCCCCCCCAAAAAAAAAGGTAACATCCCACAAAAAGTGCCTTTGAATTACAAGGACATACCTCTAATGCCTTGATCACTTGTACAGAAGTCACAGTGTTATTATCCAAGCCCCCAAATCCCAGGACGTGACTTATGGTATCAACCACCTTGCTGTCATTCAATAAACTCCCCTCCAGTATTCTATACACCAGTCCCTCTGGCTGTTCCCTGCCCTCCTGTATCTGGGTGGAATTGAGCAAGTCTGCTATGTTCTTCATGACTAGAGACATTGGCTTTATCCCTGAAACTCCTTCCATCATTTTCTGTGGATTCATTTCACTAAACTGAGATCCTGAGTTTTCTGGCATCTTTGGTGCATTCTGAAGGTTTTTTGCAATCTGGGATAAATGTTCCCTCCAATTTACATTGGGTAATTTCTTCCCAGCCATCTGTTGAGCAATGTCAGATATTTTGTCTTGAAGAAAGGTGTTTGCTGTCTCTTGCTCTGATATGGGAGGAACTCTGGAGGTCCCAGGACTCCAAGTATCATCAATTTCATTGTCAGCAACACTTCTTACTTCTCTGGACCTGTTTTGGTGGGGTACAGGATCTGCAGCAGAGTCATCCCCAGCAAACAGAAGCTGGAACATCTGAAAGGAAGCATTTTGATGGATGGAGAGTGAAACAGCATTAAAAACATTGGGAGGCAAATGGCGTGTTATAGTGTTAGTTTTTTTCTACCCTGAAATACAGTTAATACTCAAGACCACTGGCCACATTCAATTAAATAATCCACAATTAAAATACAGAAAGAAATGTTTAACCGACAGACAGAGAAATGGACAGACAGACAGAGGGGCAATGCACCCCTTACCAAAATGATAACTCAGGCATCTGAAAAAATGTTTCTTTTATTAATGCAACTGCAACTCATAAAGACTACACCATGGAATACCTCACCTGGTAGGCATAGTAGTAATAATTATAGTTGGCAAAACAAGCCACAAATGGGTACTAATATTGTGAAATGGACCATAATCATATATTATAATATCTTACCTCTTTTAAGTTCAGTTCCGAGTTCAGGAGAGTGTTGACATCCTCCTCTGGAATGGACAAGTTACGCCTCAAAAAAACATGGAGAGAGGTGGTATTCAGGAAGATGGAGCTCAACTTCAAATCTGAAATATCACCAAAATATTTTTTTACACAACATCTCTAATACTTATAACATACAAACATATAATGAAACCAGTAAGAAAAGAGATTCAGCTTTATATCACTTTTGACTTTTCTTTTACCTTCAATGACAAAACAAATTATCATCATTAGACAGACACTAAGAGACTGTCTATAGACATAGACAGAGACTATATATTCATGTATATAAATGTGTTTGTTTAAACTGCTAGCCAAGATCCACTGTTGTGTTCTAATAAATTGGAACATCTTATTCATTTCACTTACTTTGTGCCTGCTGGAATTGCTTGTGTAGCGCAACTGGGTCCTCAATAATGCTTCTATAAATTGACGGAATCTCGCTCATCTCCTCTGGCGTAAAGCCAGGTTGGAAGAAATTGTTGTGCTCTGCTATGTTGCTGAATCTCCTGAGAAAATCTTTTATTCTAGAAAAATGTTAAAAACATATGAATATTTGAAAAATGTTGACGTGAAATCTACATATCTATTAAGACACACGGAGTTATCAAATTTGTGAAATACAAAAATACAGAGAAGTGACGGTTTTGTATTTGTTTGACCATCTTCCCCCCCCCCCCCCTCCGCCACTAATTTCTTTCTTCCAAATTTCATTTTTTCATAAGTAATGAAGATTGCATCTCACATCATATTTCTCTTGCATCAAATTGGTGTCAAAGGAGGTGAAAAAACATTTTCAGAACATGCAAGATGTCATATGTGGTAAGAATCCTGTGAAGTTGTCCTTTTTCATGTGATATTTAATGAGAAGTGCAAGCTATATAACTGCCTTTTCTATGAGCTTTAATGGCATCAAAACTACACCAGTCTACACCAGTGTTACATTAAAGGTGAATTGCAAGCTAGAACCAGCTTGCAATTTATTGATTACATCAAGTCATTAAGTATATAGAATGACTATGAGTCAAATGTTATCTTTTATCAGAAACGTATATATTTCTGCTTAATAATAATATGGGCTTGGTCAATTAATTGCTGCCGACTGTAAAATATATATCTGGGGCAGCACTAGCAATTTTTTCCCTTAGCCAAATCACCACTTTTTTGTCAGTTTGTTATCCAAATGGTTCTAATTTGACGAATACTTACGAGGATTTGGGAAACTCTGGGAAGCCATGTTCATCTCTGGATGGTGTATCACAGAAAGCTTGTAAAATAGAAGCTGTCCCCGCTGAGGGCAGAGGCCGCGCATGGAAAAAGCCTTAAAAACAACAATAACAACATCAGTTCCAGTTACATTAACCAAATCCTCAATATAAATATCTAGTTTTGTCAAAGATATAGTAAAACATTTTTAATGGCTTTACCTAGATTTAATTGATAAGCTAGTGACAAAAAATCATTTCTGGTCATATTGAGAAAAACAGAAGAGATGTTAATTTCAGCTCTAAATTGTACACCCCTCTATACTGCACCGTTTTTAAAAATAAATCAAAATACCATCTCAAAGAAAATGGTTTGTGTATATGTTAAACCAATTGTAAAATATTTTAAATGTTAATTGCCATGACTGCACCATTTTTTCAAGACAGGGAAAAAAAAAAAAAAATATATATATATATATATATATATATATATATATATATATATATATATTGAAAAAGAACTCCTTCCAAACAAATGCATGCATGCTTGCACATGAAACATAAAAGAGAATACCTGATATCATCAAGAACACAGGCACCATTCATTCAATGAAAAAAACAGCTATGAAACTTGATTATTATCCAGTAAAATAAAGTAATCAATACGACAACTCACTTACATTAAAGTATTTTGGAAATAAGCTGCTGTTATGTAAATGGAACTGAACAAACGAATTACAAATTCTATACCATGTATATAATTAGCATCTTTATGTAAAGTTGGATAACATTATATAACTTTAATATAAACAATTGAGCCAGGTGTGTTACACAAACATCAAATACCCATAAAAGTAGTCAGGCTGAAAACCAAAGACTAATGATCCTGCATCACAAGGGTTTTGACAAAGGCATGAGTTAACCACTCCCACACACAACACTCAGGGGCGGATTTAGGCCGTCTTCTGGGTCTCTGGAAGACGGTCAGATTTTCAAGTTTACATTGAAGGCCATGACGGGTATCTATTTTTTTCTGTTGGAAGACGGTCAAAAATGGAGGTTGGATCAATAAAGATAATTTGGAAGACTGTCAGAAAATATCTCTGGATCCGCCCCTGACACTGGTGTGCCTTCAAGTTTGTCACCAGACATCCTATCAATTATCACTACCTGAGAATCACATTAATTGCCACAGGTGTTTAAGTTTAATATAAATTTTTGGGCTTGATTTCATCAACATCCACTACTACAAACTACCATCAAGATCTATTTAATAATACTAGTGTAGAGAGTATAGAAAAGAAACATTTTTGCTCCGTTTGACCATCACATTATCAAATTGGTGGCAAAAGAAGTCCCTTGTCAAATGCAGGAGAAATTGAGAACCACACAACAAGGATAAAGCAAATATAATATATTCTAACATCAAAGACACTACAAATTGAACTTTACCAGTACTTGTCAGGGCTTAACCTTATTTGCTTGATAACACTGCCTTAAACTAGAACATGTCTGGGTCATATCCACCTCATGACAGATGCTCGATAGATTCAAAGATCTTACTGGGATTAAAAGCAAAATATTTGTAAGAATGATATTATATGACATTAGAGTTCTGCGGGAAATGATTTAAGAGCATTCTGGGGCATCTAGAAATGGTACCAGGTTTAAATATATAATAAGCAGAGTCAGTCATGTCATCATAAAAGGTCTTCCGAGGACAGAAAACAAGCCGTAGGTTTAAATATATATGTATATCATGGATTGGATCAAAGCCAATACAGGATATTTCCCAGAACATGTAATTTNTGTATGTGGTAAGAATCCTGTAAAGTAGTCCTTTTTTTTATGTGATATTTAATCAGAAGTGCAAGCTGTATAACTGCCTTTTCTATGAGCTTTAATGGCATCAAAACTACACCAGTCTACACCAGTGTTACATTAAAGGTGAATTGCAAGCTAGAACCAGCTTGCAATATATTGATTACATCAAGTCATTAAGTATATAGAATGACTATGAGTCAAATGTTATCTTTTATCAGAAACGTATATATTTCTGCTTAATAATAATATGGGCTTGGTCAATTAATTGCTGCCGACTGTAAAATATATATCTGGGGCAGCACTAGCAATTTTTTCCCTTAGCCAAATCACCACTTTTTTGTCAGTTTGTTATCCAAATGGTTCTAATTTGACTAATACTTACGAGGATTTGGGAAACTCTGGGAAGCCATGTTCATCTCTGGATGGTGTATCACAGAAAGCTTGTAAAATAGAAGCTGTCCCCGCTGAGGGCAGAGGCCGCGCATGGAAAAAGCCTTAAAAACAACAATAACAACATCAGTTCCAGTTACATTAACCAAATCCTCAATATAAATATTTAGTTTTGTCAAAGATATAGTAAAACATTTTTAATGGCTTTACCTAGATTTAATTGATAAGCTAGTGACAAAAAATCATTTCTGGTCATATTGAGAAAAACAGAAGAGATGTTAATTTCAGCTCTAAATTGTACACCCCTCTATACTGCACCGTTTTTAAAAATAAATCAAAATACCATCTCAAATAAAATGGTTTGTGTATATGTTAAACCAATTGTAAAATATTTTAAATGTTAATTGCCATGACTGCACCATTTTTTCAAGACAGGAAAAAAAACATATATATAAAAACATATATATATATATATATATATATATATATATATATATATATATATATATAAATTTTGAAAAAGAACTCCTTCCAAACAAATGCATGCATGCTTGCACATGAAACATAAAAGAGAATACCTGATATCATCAAGAACACAGGCACCATTCATTCAATGAAAAAAACAGCTATGAAACTTGATTATTATCCAGTAAAATAAGGTAATCAATATGACAACTCACTTACATAAAAGTATTTTGGAAATAAATAGTAGTTAAGCTGCCGTTATGTAAATGGAACTGTACAAATGAATTACAAATTCTATACCATGTATATAATTAGCATCTTTATGTAAAGTTGGATAACATTATATAACTTTAATATAAACAATTGAGCCAGGTGTGTTACACAAACATCAAATACCCATAAAAGTAGTCAGGCTGAAAACCAAAGACTAATGATCCTGCATCACAAGGGTTTTGACAAAGGCATGAGTTAACCACTCCCACACACAACACTGGTGTGACTTCAAGTTTGTCTCCAGACATCCTAGCAATTATCACTACCTGAGAATCACATTAATTGCCACAGGTGTTTAAGTTTAATATAAATTTTTGGGCTTGATTTCATCAACATCCACTACTAGAAACTACCATCAAGATCTATTTAATAATACTAGTGTAGAGAGCATAGAAAAGAAACATTTTTGCTCCGTTTGACCATCACATTATCAAATTGGTGGCAAAAGAAGTCCCTTGTCAAATGCAGGAGAAATTGAGAACCACACACCAAGGATAAAGCAAATATAATATATTCAAACATCAAAGACACTACAAATTGAACTTTACCAGTACTTGTCAGGGCTTAACCTTATTTGCTTGATAACACTGTCTTAAACTAGAACATGTCTGGGTCATATCCACCTCATGACAGATGCTCGATAGATTCAAAGATCTTACTGGGATTAAAAGCAAAATATTTGTAAGAATGATATTATATGACATTAGAGTTCTGCGGGAAATGATTTAAGAGCATTCTGGGGCATCTAGAAATGGTACCAGGTTTAAATATATAATAAGCAGAGTCAGTCATGTCATCATAAAAGGTCTTCCGAGGACAGAAAACAAGCCATAGGTTTAAATATATATGTATATTATGGATTGGATCAAAGCCAATACAGGATATTTCCCAGAACGTAATTCATCTGGCTAGTTGCCATTATCTAGTGAGAATGACTCATTCCTTTTCAAGTGATGTTCTATATGCGACCGACGAAATTTTCAAGACTTCACCGTTTATAAACATTCTTAATTATATGCTAAGAAAATGTTATTATTATTATTATTATTATTATTATTATTATTATTATTATCTACAGTATGTATTAAATATTTATACATGTATCAGGGGTGGATTGAGGGCGTCTTCTGGGTCAGATTTTCAAGTTTACATTGACAGGTATCTAATTTTTTTCTGTTGGAAGACGGTCAAAAATGGAGGATGGATCAACAAAGAAAATTTGGAAGACTGTCAAAACCGGTGTATTGCTATGAATGGAGAAAGCTACTTTTCAAGTAAATAACTGAAAACACCCATTTCCATTTTATTACATTTTTGTCACACATATCTCTGTGATTCTTTCACATCTATACACTTTTTCTACTTTGATTTGACAACTGACTTTTTTTCCTTACATACTAAATCAATTGGTTCTACTCAACTACTTTTTTCCATTTTATTTTCTCCACCAGCCCTCTTTTAAATCGTACCATATAACTAGTTTTTGCAAAGCTGACCCCTCCCCCCCCCCACCTTACCCTCTTTCTCTTCCTCTCTCACCCTCTCTGTCAACCCCATACTTACTTGCTCCTGCTTGATGTGCTGGTTGTTTTTTTCTGATCCCCAGCAGAATAAAAAAGAGCACAAGGGGGATGCACAACTCAAACAAGAGCACAAACTGAAAGTAAAATAGATATAATTAAATCTATAGCAAGAATCCAATGCAAACAAGGATAATTATAGTTAGCTTGCTGATGGCCAGCATTTCCTCCATGTGGAGTTTTGGACAACAGGCAACATACTGTCAACTGAAACATCAGTGAAAAAAGCTTTTCATAGAAATGACAATGAGCAAGAGACAGAGGAGAAAATAAGGGAGAAGAGGTCTTTTTCGGGGGTAAATACTTCTATGCATAGCAGGAGAAAATGAATAAGGTGACTGCCAACTAAGCGAATAAATTTTTATATAAATTGAAACATAAATTATTTTGGCACCATTTTAACATAGAATTTGACTTGTCTGAGCTTACAATGTAATGTTAAGAAGCAGAGACTTGTTCTTTTACAGTCACACAGACTCAAGCATCATATACCTTATATATTTTAACAAGAACTGGTTTAAGGTCATCATTAAGGTGAACCAATGAACAATCTTAACCTTGTCATGGTACGTGATAGGGGTCATCCATTTTTATCACCATTTTCACAAGTCTACAAACTGTATGCTGGGGGAGGGAGAGGATTCAAACTGTCAAACAAAAGATGTCCAGCATAAACAAAAGCTATATATGCAGTATAACATTCACTGAATTAATATTTACTGAGTAATTAGTGAAGACGTAAATAAGGGCAGTGATTAAATGTATGACGCATGAAACATTTGCCAAATTTCCCTGCACACTTTTCCCTGTCTCTGTTAAATAATGTTAAACTATTGTATAAATGAATAATGAAATATAACGAATACATAATGAGAAAGGGAAAGGTGTAGACTCTGGTTGATCGAGGTCAAACTCCACTGACACAGACAGATAAAGGTGACAGTCATAAATATAGACACTACTGTGCCTGTATATGATAACAAGAAGACCACATATATCTGTTTGTTTGCATAATAAATACTGAATGAAATATTTGAGTTTTTAACAATGTAGACTTGAAAAATGAACAGTTTTAAATTTGGAACCTTTATATTGGAGTTGTGCTGTTTCATCTTACTATACAATTGTTCTTCAATATCTAGATCATATTTTGGATCAGTAATTTCTGCCTTCCCCTGCCTACAGGCTTGTCAGCACAGGTGCCAAGTGAGGATTTCTGGGCTAATGTATGATGAAATGGGCAGTCAAAGTGCCTAGATAATTAATGATATGTTAACATATTTTAAAACTCCATAGGAATCCTCCACATAAAAAACATAACATACAGATTTTTTCTTGATACCATTTAAATTCCACAGTCTCTTTAAGGTAGCTTTGGCTGGGGGTCGTGCTAGGGGTCGATTCTTTTGTTCTGTACGTGTTAACTTGTTGCTGTTGTCGGTTTGTAGTTTTAAAGGAATGTTTTACAAAAAAGGATAACTGAGATTTGTTAATCAAAATAAATACTTGGCAATTTATACTAAAAACTCTTTAATGGACGTAATTGTCAGAAATAAACAGTGTAATATCGATCGTGCCTGGGGCAAAGTGCACACTGACCAAAGCCAAGACAAAGTCTGACATTCACTGTTAAATTCACTTACTGGACTTCGTTTCTTCAATGTCAAATTCTTCCAAAGCAGAAGACGGAGCTGATGGAAGAATCCTGTCATGGTGGTCACATCTAAGAGTAGCTATCATTCGTGAGCAAAATCAATCCTGATAACGACTAGAGTAACGACTAGAGTAACAGCAGTTTATGTTGAAGTCTACGTCGCCAGCTCAAAAACAATGCCAATCATTCCCTCAGATTTCAATAGTTTATCAAAAAATGCTCGGCATAAACTGTAAAATACCCAGAAATAAGGTAAATATAAACTTTAAAACATCACTTTGTATCGGCCAGCAAACTGCAACATTGATGGCTGAGATATGGAGAAGCATAAGATAAAAATTCGTATATTTCCTTCACTCAGCTGTTCACGAAAAAAATCACATCCACCATGTTGCTGCACCAGCTGTTTTTATCACGTGACCACTTGTTCGCGATCTGATTGGTGCAGCTCTGAAACAGCGCAGTGGGTAAACATAAAGATGTAAACAAAGCCACGTGAATACCTTTGTAGCATTAACATTTATATAGTCTCATGATGCGCGAAAATACTGATAAAATTACGCGCAGAGACCACTGCTGTCAGCTCCTTTCTTATATGTACATTCATGTTGTTCGACCCCACTGTTTGTGAACAGCAGTTCCTTACGTAAGGGGGCTCTATGTAGAGTGTTAGTTGTATATCTTTTTTTTCTCCCAGTCCACCACAAGTGCATCGAAGATCTGTTATTTGTCCTCCAGTCAGAGTGCTAGAAGCAGAAGGCCATTAGATAACCAGCTGACCCCCCCCCCCCCACCCCACCCCACCAACACACACAAACGCTATGGCCCTGAACAAACTTTTCTTTAAAAGAACGTGAATGGTGATTCATTAAACCAAGGACGACATACGTCCCTGATTAAACTCGGTCTTAATTCTAACCAAAAAGGCTACTTTTCTCGATTTGTGTCAATGGGATTGCTTTAATCGACGTTGTTAGCTTCGAAAAAATGTACCAGCATTGCCTCATTTTGAGAGGCAAACGGAATTTGTTAGGTGTGTCATACTTTTTAAAGTATTAAAATATTGCGTTAGGTTAGATGAAGGTCCCAGTGGCGGATTTAAGGGGATGTCAGGGGGTTCCTGCCCCCCTCTCCTTTGATTTCCGAAAAAATCACATCAATGGTCTCCTCTTGACATTAAAATTTTCACTAGCTGAATCATGGTTCTAAACCGTACCAAATGGCACCGATCGCCTTCTAAAATAGGCTCTACCACAATTTATCGGTACCCCTCAGCAGGTCCCGAACCCCACGCCGAGGAGGGGGGGGGGGGGGGTTAGCATCCGCGGTCTGTCATTCCTATAATTAAACCAGACCCCCCCCCCCCCAAATAATCCTGGATCTGCAATATATCTGCGATATAAAAAATGCAGGTCCTCTGGCATTTCAAGCGGTCATGACCTGTCGGACAGGCAGTTGCCCTATGTTTAGAGATCCTGTCAGAAAATCGTTTAAATTACTGCAATTGGCAAAAAGCTATGACACTTGCTGTAAAATGCCCTTTTTTATCTAGTTTTATGGAGCTGATTCCTTTATTTAGCTTCACCATTTAAAAGCAACTGCAAAATGGGAATACGTGAGCCAATCTGAGACATCGAATATTGTTCCAATCTATATAGAAAGTCAGAATTTTGCACACCTCCGAAAAAAAAAAATGATGGGCACACTTTAGTCTCTTCTCAAACTAGCATTCAGAGCTTTATTCTGTATCCTACTTTCAATATTGAACCAGTCTAATATTATTATGGAGAGATATTCATATATACATGTATCTTATAGATCTTATGCGAATACAGAAAAGTTCACCCTTGGATGGCGACCAGTGCAGACCCATGTCAACTTCACCTGAATCTTTCTATTTACCCCCACCACTCCCCTCTCAATATAAAGAAATATATATAATCAATTAATGAATTTAATTAAATTGATAAATCAATTAAATCTTTTAAAAACGTCGATTAAGTCACACACCCCTACATAATATTTTCATAAATTTGATGTTCGTTTTCAAAAAAGAAAGCTAAATAAAAGCTTTTGAATAACTTTATTTATTTTTTAACGCAACTTTCCCGTATACTCCGAATTAAACGCTCAAGGTAAATATCCACTAAGTGCTTCCCCCTTTTTTAGGTCAGAATTGGTATGCCAACGATGTCAACGGTAACTGTACACTTTAACCCAACCGTCCTGGAGACCGACCACCAGCTGTCCGTTACCGCTGACCACCACACCCATTGGCTCGGATGACAAACCGTCCGCTTTAGTTAACACAAGCTCTTTGAATTCCCCTTTGCTGGAGAGCCTATGGATAGTCTTATTATTTGTATCGGTGACAAAAATGTCCCCTTTCTCGTTAGTGCAAATTCCAAATGGGACAAATGGCTCGCTTGGAGTAGAGCCTGCCCCTTGAGAAGTGTAAGTGAATTTCAGCTCTCCCTCTTGGCTGTATGAACGAACACAAGCATTCATTGGATCGGACACGAGTATATCACCGTTAGATTTTGAACACGATAACTGTTTTAACTGGACAACACCTTTGTCGTCCCCCGCATTTCCATCGGAGAAGGACTTAATGACACCACCGTTTAGGTTTAGGCGATGAATGCGGTCATCTTGGTGACCATGCGTTTGAATGATGGGCTGATTCTTGCTATTTGCCGACACGGCAAGTGCTTTTGGACAGATAAGCGATGAAATTAAAATACCTGCTGTATCGAAAACATAAATCATCCCTTGCTTAGGATCTGTGACAACCAGACACTCTTTGTGATGTGACGTAACAGAAGCCGCAAGATACGTCATACTGGACATGTTCGGAACGCCAAATTTTTGTTTAACGGCCCGTGCCTCTCTGTCCAATATGAATATCCTGTTTAATGCGGGGTCTTTTTCACAAAAAGTAGAGATGATTATGTCTCCCGAGGTCGAAGCGTCGAGAGAATAGAGTCTTTCTTTTTTACGTGACAAGAGGGGTATGCGGATTTTATTAAGCATCGAAGGGCGTCCGTCATCCAAATATAAATAACCGAAACCTCCTTTTAGAAGTTCATTAGTAGTCGGGGAAAATTTAAAACAGAGCTTAGGAATCTCAGGCACAGTTGGAGGGGACTTCTCAAGGATAGCCTGAATTTTCGTTGCGCACTGCACTTTCATATTGACAATCTCAGCGGGCGATGCATCCTTCGTCAGGCGGTGTGAAATTTGCGAGATGCCATCAATGGCCATTAGCATGTTATCTACGTTTTCGCTGGCTGCCTCGACATGCTTTTCCTCCGCTTCAAACTTCTCGTCTATTTCGTTACTAATGTCCTTTGCGTATTGGTCAATCCGCGAGAGGAGGACCTGGCGTTGGTGATCGACGCGAAACTGGACATCGCGTTGTTGGTGATCCAGGCCGGTCTCTACGTCCCCGAGAGACGCTTGTGTGCTCTCAAATCTTTCCCTCTGCGTCGCTAGTTTCTGTAACAAATCCTGGATCTCTTTAACTTGGGCCTGAGCCGCTATTTCTATTTGCACGCACTTGTGGTCGTCGTGAGAGAGAATCTTACAGCGTATGCATACGGGCTGCTTGCATTTGACGCAGTAGAACTCCTGCACCGTCTCCTCGTGCTTNGTTCACCCTTGGATGGCGACCAGTGCAGACCCATGTCAACTTCACCTGAATCTTTCTATTTACCCCCACCACTCCCCTCTCAATATAAAGAAATATATATAATCAATTAATGAATTTAATTAAATTGATAAATCAATTAAATCTTTTAAAAACGTCGATTAAGTCACACACCCCTACATAATATTTTCATAAATTTGATGTTCGTTTTCAAAAAAGAAAGCTAAATAAAAGCTTTTGAATAACTTTATTTATTTTTTAACGCAACTTTCCCGTATACTCCGAATTAAACGCTCAAGGTAAATATCCACTAAGTGCTTCCCCCTTTTTTAGGTCAGAATTGGTATGCCAACGATGTCAACGGTAACTGTACACTTTAACCCAACCGTCCTGGAGACCGACCACCAGCTGTCCGTTACCGCTGACCACCACACCCATTGGCTCGGATGACAAACCGTCCGCTTTAGTTAACACAAGCTCTTTGAATTCCCCTTTGCTGGAGAGCCTATGGATAGTCTTATTATTTGTATCGGTGACAAAAATGTCCCCTTTCTCGTTAGTGCAAATTCCAAATGGGACAAATGGCTCGCTTGGAGTAGAGCCTGCCCCTTGAGAAGTGTAAGTGAATTTCAGCTCTCCCTCTTGGCTGTATGAACGAACACAAGCATTCATTGGATCGGACACGAGTATATCACCGTTAGATTTTGAACACGATAACTGTTTTAACTGGACAACACCTTTGTCGTCCCCCGCATTTCCATCGGAGAAGGACTTAATGACACCACCGTTTAGGTTTAGGCGATGAATGCGGTCATCTTGGTGACCATGCGTTTGAATGATGGGCTGATTCTTGCTATTTGCCGACACGGCAAGTGCTTTTGGACAGATAAGCGATGAAATTAAAATACCTGCTGTATCGAAAACATAAATCATCCCTTGCTTAGGATCTGTGACAACCAGACACTCTTTGTGATGTGACGTAACAGAAGCCGCAAGATACGTCATACTGGACATGTTCGGAACGCCAAATTTTTGTTTAACGGCCCGTGCCTCTCTGTCCAATATGAATATCCTGTTTAATGCGGGGTCTTTTTCACAAAAAGTAGAGATGATTATGTCTCCCGAGGTCGAAGCGTCGAGAGAATAGAGTCTTTCTTTTTTACGTGACAAGAGGGGTATGCGGATTTTATTAAGCATCGAAGGGCGTCCGTCATCCAAATATAAATAACCGAAACCTCCTTTTAGAAGTTCATTAGTAGTCGGGGAAAATTTAAAACAGAGCTTAGGAATCTCAGGCACAGTTGGAGGGGACTTCTCAAGGATAGCCTGAATTTTCGTTGCGCACTGCACTTTCATATTGACAATCTCAGCGGGCGATGCATCCTTCGTCAGGCGGTGTGAAATTTGCGAGATGCCATCAATGGCCATTAGCATGTTATCTACGTTTTCGCTGGCTGCCTCGACATGCTTTTCCTCCGCTTCAAACTTCTCGTCTATTTCGTTACTAATGTCCTTTGCGTATTGGTCAATCCGCGAGAGGAGGACCTGGCGTTGGTGATCGACGCGAAACTGGACATCGCGTTGTTGGTGATCCAGGCCGGTCTCTACGTCCCCGAGAGACGCTTGTGTGCTCTCAAATCTTTCCCTCTGCGTCGCTAGTTTCTGTAACAAATCCTGGATCTCTTTAACTTGGGCCTGAGCCGCTATTTCTATTTGCACGCACTTGTGGTCGTCGTGAGAGAGAATCTTACAGCGTATGCATACGGGCTGCTTGCATTTGACGCAGTAGAACTCCTGCACCGTCTCCTCGTGCTTGGGGCAAAAAGAGAGCTCGTGTCGGAACAGTTCTCTCTGGTAGGTCTCCCCGCCCAGGTCCTCCACAGCAAAGAGCTGGTGCCGCTGGGAGCTCTTTATTTTACGATGTATTTTCTCACAATTACCGCAAAGAAAATCCTTGCAGTCCAAACAGCGAACGGTGGCCGGTACCGTTATGGCGTCCTCCGAGCAAAGCCCGCACACAGGCTGTTCGTCGGTGTTTTGTCTCTCTTGAACCAGGCGCTTGAGCTTCTCGTAGAAGACGTTGTCTTTGATGCCCTTTGCGCGGTCCGGTGGGGCGTAACACTCTGCGCGACAGGTCGGGCAGGGGAACTTGAAGTTATCCACCGAAGTAAAAATTATTACCTTCTCCAAGCAAGCCTCGCAGAAGGTGTGAAGACATTCCAGAATTTTGGGTGACTGGAAAACCTTCTTGCAGAGAACACATGTTAGAACGTCTTTTTCTATGGCGTGGGCGAGACTGGAGTTGGACGTCATGGTGTTTTTTTTTTTTTTTTTTTTCTGAAAATGACACAAAATTTGATAACTGTTTTTAGACTTGGAGGAAAGCGAATCTAGGAAACAACAATAATAGATACTTTACAATAGGCCTTCATAAAGAGTAAAATTACATATTCTTTGTCTTTTACAAGAAATTATAAATATGAGAATTATCCTCACTATAAAATTCAAAGCGAAAATTTTAACATCCATAGGAACAACATGAACAATCTACAATAATGTATTAAATTTATCATATTTGTACGTGAAGTGTGTATTTTCATGCCAAAAGCAAGAAATAAATAAGATCCTAACATTGTTGTAAATGGCGGAGGTGTCCTACAACCCAAGTTTTGTTCACCGTTATGTCAGTGAAACTAGACTAACAAATTCCGTAATTAACTCGAGAATTAACTGCTCCTTACCTCCGTAATTGTCACTTATCACATCTCCTCCTACATCTTGAGATGTCAACTATCTTTTAATTATATATTTTGCCTAAACACCGTGAAACCTTTCCTTTTATTTCCCTGTACTATAAAGAATACGATGACACCAGTGGGAAACTCAAAACGAATATTTCGTTTAGTTTTTCATTTGATTTTCAAAGAAGCATATCGAGAATCCCCTTCCAAAAGTGCTAAACAATTTGTACCTGAGCCCAATACACTCACCTCTGTCTTTGGATCACCACATCCGTATATTAAACTCAAGCTACTGTGCAGGTACCGCTAAAGCAGATGAATAGATAATAATCTAGTCATTCGTCCACGCAAGCAAAATTCATGTGGTCATCAGCTACTGTATCTCAACGTCGCGGTCATTTTTAATATCCCGATAACCATATAAGCCTACTTGTGGATGGTTCCAGTGGCTCGTCATGGATGAAGTCGAGAGTTGATAAAGCACCTCTAGCGTCAAAGTGTTTCTTGAATTTGGAAGCTTTAAAACTACTTATTTAGACTTACATAAAAGAGTTACTTAAATAGTGATCTATTTCTGATTAATAAATATAAATATATTTAAAGTTTCGTGCGATTATGACCTCTTTTCAACCTTTTAACATACTTTCCTGACACTCGCCATAATTCTATTACAAGCTGGGGGCATTAAAAGCTTAAACGATGCTTTTTTTTTTCAAATTTTGTCATCCCTTCGAGCTCCATTCTCACACTGACTCCCGAATTCCGTGCGATTTAAAACAATGTCAAGTAATGATTGTCAAATGACAATTTGAATAATGCTCGTCCGAAGGTGGCGTCATTTATTCATGACATTTATGTAGAAACATGATCTAAAAGTATTATTACGTTTTGGACGCACGGTTTTTTGGGTTCCTTGCGTCCGGCTAGGACTTAGCTGGATCGCAGGTAGCGACTGTTGATCATGTCGAAAAGTTTCTACGTGCTGTTTGCGATGGACGTGCTCCTCACGCACGAACTCCCAGGTTTTCCCCAATTTTTTGGCCGTAGAACACAAGTAGCAGCCCGTACGTTCGGTCGGGACCTAGGCTTTAATCTGGTTGCATTCAGCGAAAGTCCCCGCGGAGTTGGATCAGCCACGCAGACTGATTTCTTCAGTGGGAATGTGCCCTCAGTTTGCAGCTCCCTATGCGCCGGGCTGCTTTTTCTCTTCCGCTGCAACCCTTGCAGTTTTGTTCTCTGTTGCTTTCTTGGACTTAATATATAGGTACTACTGGGAGCACTTTGAAAAAAAAAAAGCTTTTCGCCTTTTGCTTTGCAGGTCAAGGTCACATTGTACACAAAACAAACGTGCATGGTCTACGGTACAAAATACCAGTATTCCCAGATAGCGCAATACGGAAACAAGATAACTGGTGAAAAGGACCTCGCCTCGCTTCGCCGAATATTTTGATTTCCTTTGACGTAACCCCACACGACACTTTAAAAATGACACTTGGTAACAACAGAGTTTCAACAAAACTGAAGAAGATCCGGAAGATGCACATGATTGGGACCTTCGTCGGCTCTTTGATTATTTTATATTTTCTTCAAAGTCATGATCAGAGTCTAACTACAACTAGAGATGGCAACATTTTGGAAAAAGCAAATGAAATTCGGGTAAGAGTTAAATCCAAGTCAAGATATATATTGGTTTTTGTTTTCTCCATAACAGTTTTATTTTTCAGTGGTTCACTGAGGATATTTTGAAAATATGTGATCGTCTAGTTATTGGTCTACTCTCTTTATATGATAAGACTAACTCAGAGTACTGATAAATAATATCTGAACACAAGGGTTGTAATGGGATACGAGAGAAAATGGTACTAGATAGGAAAAAAGTTACTAATTTAAATTTAATCTAAATATAAAATGGCAGAATCCTTGTGAGTGTATTCAATTTTCTAGCATACAGTACATATCCATCATTGAGCCTTCAACGGAAATTTATTGAACATTAAACAAATTTTCAGAGCAGGGTGTAAGCAGCAGTCTTCTTGATTTAATGTTTATTGAATCATGCCCGCAGATTTACCATTGAGAATACACTTTAATTGCATGATGGTTATATATAACCATGGAGATGAAGTGCCAATTATCAACTGAAGTTAATTTTCCTGTTTACCATATCCTTATAACCCGTATGGTATATACAGAAATTAAAAAGGGATTTTGTTTTTCCAAATCATTTTTCTTTTTTCCGACTTTTTGACTAATATATGATAACAACGATTTGTGTTATCTTTTATCTTTTAGCAATCAATTCAAGTTCCTTAAAAGAATTCACCTTATTGAGCTAACAAAAATACGTGGCTGATTTTAAGTCAAGCAACAACATTTAAAAGCGTTATTCCTCTTCGGGATATTTGTGAAGTCAAATTGGAGCAGCTTGGCGGTACAGTTGACCTCATAAGTAAAAACCACATGGTTTCGATGTGCCCAAAGAGGTTGATGGTTCACAATTATAGCGGAAGTAGACGACGATGTTGACGCTTCCTATGAGGTTGCCTGGTATAGTAACCTGCTCAAACCAGTACGGTGGTAAAAGGACCTTGAAAACACTTACTAATGGCAATCTGTCACTCTAAAGCTTTAGGGAATGGGCTGTCTTTGTTAAGTTGTTAAGCAAGGCCATAAGAACAGGGGGATCTGTTTCCTGGTGGTATGTTTTGGATGCCTTAGGCGTGGCCTCTGTGTAGGAAAAAAGTCTGTGCATATCACTGTTAGACAGTGCAGAGCGTTCCTTGCGACACAGTATACTGTCTGGCAATGCCTATCTGTTTTGCGCCAATCTGGCACAGAGCAACATTGCTGTAATACACTGGCTTACTCAGTTTATGTGCCTTAATATCTGCTACTTGTATGAAAGATGTCAATATCTACTGTGCGGCGTTGCCGAAATATTGAGACGTTTATGACTAAACCATGCTCGCCCAGAGTATTTCTTGGACCAGTCCAAATTTTACTATCCAATGAAATCACCATCTCTTACTGCAACAGTGCATCACACAAGGCAGTAAGATAATTAGTACTGACAAACCTGCCCACTTATTGCTCTATTCGCATATTTCACGAGGTAAACGTTCCCCAAAAATAATGCGTTTTACCTAGGCATACCTTTATAACTTAAATATTTGTTAAATGTCGACCCTGTATTTATTGGGTAGCAAGTATCTTTGGACATTTTGCGAAGATCCAAAATGGACGTAACGTGTTCGTCAGATTGACGTTGATTGCAGGCTGAATCATAGCCCAGGTGTTTTGTTTAAGAAATATATTGGATCGAAAAGTAGAAACGAGAAGTCCCCAAGTTGCTACCTTATTTACTAAAAGACGTAAATAAGAGGTATTTTAATTTTATTACAGTCCGCCAAAAGAGAGATCATGAGTATTTTATTTAAACACCAAGTCCAGAAATCAACAACCAAAGAACTGGAACCAGTGGTTGTTCGGCTTACTGAGACTACACAGTCGCCCACAGGAGGTATGAAGATATTTAGCAAGGCCGATACAGCGCTTCTTCCTACTGTCCTGTCCTGTCCTGTCCTGTCCTATCCTGTCCTGTCCTGTCCTACCCTATCCTATCTGTCCGTTCCTGTCCTGTCCTATCCTGTCCTATCCTGTCCTGTCCTATCCTATCCTATCCTATCCTATCCTATCTGTCCGTTCCTGTCCTGTCCTATCCGTTCCTGTCCTGTCCTGTCCTGTCCTGTAGTATCGGCACCACTTGCGGATTTTGCTACCATCTCTCTCCACTCCACTCTCTGAGGATGCTGCGCGTGCAAGGCAATCCGTGCCACTAGGTGGAAGAGTGCATTTAGGAAGTTTTGAGCCTTTGCTGAAAGCTCAAATTTCGTTGTTGCAAAAAGTCTGGCATCCAGACTTAGGGTGGTGAAGTGTAAATGCAAGCTTCATTGCATGTAAGAGACCTGTTGCAGCTAGCTGACTAGATGTTGTCTTCTTTTGTAACTGGGGCTAGCTACCCCGCAAACGAAAGAATGCTGGAGGGCAAGCAAGCTCCCCAGTAAAGAAAAGAAGATGACATCTTGGTCATCTAGCCGCAAAAGGCCTAGTGCACAGCTTGACATGAAAATTAATCACATGCACGTGTGCTTGCTGTATTACATGTGTGTATACGTGTTTGAACTGCTGATTTTGTTTGTTCTGTGGGTTTTATTTTATTTCATGATATGATCTTTATTTTATAATATGTTTTTTTTTTAATAAATAAGGATTCTGATGCACTGAGCATTCAATGTGTTTCGTTTGTTGTGGGGATTGAAACCGAATCAACATGTGGTCGGAGGGGAGAGAAATACCACTTTCAACTTTTTCCTGGGAAGAAAAGCAGTACATGGTGTACTTGTTACAGGTAAACTGAGGCCAGGCACTCACCTTACTATCTCACTGAGACTGTTCACACATTATGGTCTGTCGATTCCGAAGATGAACGGACAGTTCAGTTACCGTATCTTTTTAGGTCCTTCGGACTATACGGGACAATTGGGGCGCTCTGGCCCTCCTGGCCTACTCGGACCGAAGGGAAACCCTGGAAAGCGAGGCCCGAAAGGGGAACTGGGGAGAATAGGAATTCCTGGGTTGCCAGGTCTCCGAGGTAAGTGGGGGAGAACCAGGAGAACTTTCACAATATTTGGTAATAAAATAAGTAATAACAATGAAATACTATTAATAAAATCACTTTTGAGGTAGTATGCAACGAACACCTTCATCACAAACAGATTATACAACAGGGCCCAGTTTTATCAATACTGGATAGCGCTATCCTCTGGATAACATATCCTTTGGACTAAATTGTTATCCTCTGGACTCTTATCCTGTGGGTAAAATAATGTTAACTTTACACTAGATACTTATTTTTGTTTCTGATATTGCTTTCCAGTGGTTAAAAAGGCTGCTATCCTCAATATAACTTTCCAGAGGATAACAATTTTATTCAAAGTACAGTGTTATCCAAAGGAAAGCGCTATCCAGTGTAAATGAAACTAGGCCCTGACGTATATCTTATATGAGATGATGATACTGGAGAACCGCATTAATTTTATTTTTACAATAGACATACAATAGCCTTTACAATACAAAACGCAATTTTATCAAAACTTTTAAAAGAAACGTTTTGTATAACGGATTGCATAATGCGCATCAGGCAATTTTAATGAAAGGTCATGGTGAAAGTTCCAAATGATTATGCAAACCATGTCATGGAGTGTAAAAAATGGTATATTTTGTACCAAGATTGCGGTTATGTTGCTGTGATATTTAAGGTCCAATTAGTCCTAACGGTGCCCCTGGCATCAGAGGTCCAACAGGCCCCCCTGGTCTTCCGGGCGCCGAATGCGTTTATGATGACCCTAAAGGAGACCCTAAAGGCGACTGCGTTTATGAAGATTCTAAACGAGACACTAAGGGCGACTGCTTTTCTGAAGACCCTATAGGAGACATTAAAGGCGAATGCGTTTATGAAGACCCTAGAGGAGAGACTAAAGGCGGCTGCCTTTATGAAGACCCTGATGGAGACCCTAGAGGCGACTGCGTTTATGAAGACCCTATAGGTGACCCTAAAGGAGACTTTGCATCCCGCCGTAACCTAAGAGAACAATCAGGTTTGAGAGGGTTTTCTGTGTTTTCTGATTTGTATTTTAATACTTTAAAACTTAAAAGTATTGGCGAATATCTTATACTATGCACAATTATTGTTCACTTGACCAAAATCTTCAGAAACAGAAATTGTTTTTCAGTAATTAAAAAAATATAATGTGTTTGGAAAACCTTCAGTGTATATTAAAAAAAAACTAATGAATGTTGGGTGCATTATACATCAATATTTGGTTAAGATATTTACCTTAGCTCATATGGTTATTTTATAATTTTTCAAAATAACGATATTTCCAAACTTTTTGGTCGAGTGTAGATTGAGTCATTTCTCGTGTATTAATATAATCACCAGAAACGTACATCAAATTATCAAGAAAGTAAGATATTACGTACATTGCGTATCGGTTGTATGTATTGTTCTGTTATGCGATTTCAACGTTATATATGAATTCAAATGTCAACGGTATGATTATTGTCGTAGGTGAATAATCTTTCCAATTTCTTTTTAGAATATTCAGGCCTACCCAACTACCAGACTCGGCACCTAAGGATCCTGAATTAACCGGTATANTGGGACAAAAAGAGAGCTCGTGTCGGAACAGTTCTCTCTGGTAGGTCTCCCCGCCCAGGTCCTCCACAGCAAAGAGCTGGTGCCGCTGGGAGCTCTTTATTTTACGATGTATCTTCTCACAATTACCGCAAAGAAAATCCTTGCAGTCCAAACAGCGAACGGTGGCCGGTACCGTTATGGCGTCCTCCGAGCAAAGCCCGCACACAGGCTGTTCGTCGGTGTTTTCTCTCTCTTGAACCAGGCGCTTGAGTTTCTCGTAGAAGACGTTGTCTTTGATGCCCTTTGCGCGGTCCGGTGGGGCGTAACACTCTGCGCGACAGGTCGGGCAGGGGAACTTGAAGTTATCCACCGAAGTGAAAATTATTACCTTCTCCAAGCAAGCCTCGCAGAAAGTGTGAAGACATTCTAGAATTTTGGGTGACTGGAAAACTTTCTTGCAGAGAACACACGTCAGAACGTCTTTTTCTATGGCGTGGGCAAGACTGGAGTTGGACGTCATAGTGTTTTTTTTTTTCTGAAAATGACACAAAGTTTGATAATTGTTTTTAGACTTAGTGGAAAGGGAATCTAGGAAACAACAATAATAGACACTTTACAATAGGCCTACATAAAGAGTAAAATTATATATTCTTTGTCTTTTAGAAGAAGTTATAATTATGGGGATTATCCTCACTATAAAATTCAAAGCGAAATTTTTAACATCCATAGGAACAACATGAATAATCTACAATAATGTATTAAATTTATCATATTTGTACGTGGAAATGCCAAAAGCCAAAAGCAAGAAATAAATTAGATCCTAACATTGCTGTTAATGGCGGAGTCCTACAACACAAGTTTTGTTCACCGTCATGTCAGTGAAACTAGTTTAACAAATCCCGTAATTAACTCGAGAATTAACTGCTCCTTACCTAAGTAATTGTCCCTTATCACATCTCCTCCTACATCTTGAGATGTCAATTATCTTTTAATTATATTGCTGAAGCTTTTCCTTTTATTTCCCTGTACTATAAAGAATACAATGCCATCAGTGTGAAACTCCAAACGAATATTTCATTTCGTTTTTTATTTGATTTTCAAAGAGTGCTTAACAATTTGTACTTGAGCCCAATACACTCACCTGTCCTTGACTCGCTACACCCGTATATTTGACTCAAGCTTCTGTGCTTGTACCGTTAAGGCGGATGAATAGATAATAATCTAGTAATTCGTCCACGCAGGCAAAATTAATGTGGTCATCAGCTATCTCAACCAGTACGTCGCGGTCATTTCTAATATTCCGGTGATCACACATACTGGTGGGTGGCTCCAGTGGAGCAGTGTAACGTCTTGGAGAAGTCGAGAGTTGATAAAGCACAGTGGCGAATTGAGAGGGGGAGGGTCGGGGGGTCCTGGCCCCCACTTCCGTTTCTTGACAATATATCACGCCAACATTCCCCTCTTGAAATTAAATTTTTGAATAGCTGAATCATAGTTCTAAACCGTACCAAAGGGTACCGTTCGCCCTCCAAAACACCAAAAAATTTGGGGGCTCTGGAGCAGGCCCCGAACCCCACGCCAAGGGGCGATAGTCGGCTTTTGCAGCCGAGGCCTGTCGTTTCGCCCCCCCCCCCCCCCCCCCCACCTCCTTTAAATAATCCTGGATCGGCCCCTGAAGCACACCTGGTGTCAAAGCGTTTCAGGAGTTTGGAAGCTCTAAAACTACTTATTTAGACTGTTACACTAACGAGTTACTTAAATAGAGATGTATTTCTGTATAATACATATATTTAAAGTTTCGTTAGTTATGACCTCTTGCCAACCTAATTTACTTTCCCGACACTCGCCATGACAATAATAATTGTCGTCAGATAAGTTCAACAAGAAATAATATATATGTACTTTATGTGTGTTTACAATCCAACACTGTGTCACTTTTAAGTTAAAAACTTTTAAGGCATTCCACTTGTGTAACGTCGAAGACCACGATTTGCTATCTTATTTGCCACGTCCCCTCTTGTCTACAACGTACTCGTACTATCACCGGCTTTTCTCTAATCTACGCAATATTTTCAGGAGGTATGCCAATCTGTTAATCTGATTGCATTCAACGAAAGTCCCCGCGGAGTAGGACCAATCTATGTAGACCTATAGTTCCAAAGGGAACGAGCCCTTAGTGTGCAGCTCCCTATGCACCCAGCTGCTTTTTCTCTACCGTTGCAATTCTGTTCTCCGTTGCTTTCTTTGACTTAATATGTAGGTACATGTCTACATGTACCGTCGGGAGACCTTTGAAAAAAAAAGCTTTTCGCCTTTTGCTTAGTAGGTCAAGCTCACATTGTATACAGAACAAACGTGCATGGTCTACAGTACAAAATACAAGTGCTTCCAGATAGCGCAATACGGAAACAAGATAATTGGTGAAAAGGACCTTTGGCCCCTCGCCGAATGTCTTGATTTCCTTTGATGTAACCTCACGCGCCACTTATATAATACTTACTTTCAACAGGGTTTTAGGCAACGTAGCTGAAGAAGACCCGAAAGATGCACGTGATTGGAAACTTCGTTTGCTCCTTGATTATTTTATATTTTGTTCAGAGTAAAACTACAACTGGAGATGATGATATTTTGGAAAGAGCAAAAGAAATCCGGGTAAGAGTTAACTCAAAGTCGTCGTATCAGCAAAGATATGGCGGTGTTTAATTTTTCTAATTACAGTTTTATTTGTCATTGGTTTATTGTGCATATTTTGGAAATATGTGATCGTCTTGTTATTAGTCTACTCTCTCCATATGGTGAGACTAACCCAGACCACTGATACAGTACAGCTGAAAACAAGGGTTGTAATGGGGCACTATATAGGGAAACAATGATATGAGATAGGAAAAACGTTCTTAATTTGATAAGACATCACAGTAGGCCTACATGTGAAACAGAAGAAACTTTGAAAGCGTATTCAATTCCACAGCATACGGTACATGTCCATCTTTAAGCTTTTAACGAAAATTTAATCAACATTAACAGATTCTTGATTTTTTGTATGTTACATAACGCCCGCATATTTATCATTGACTAGGAAATACTCTTTAATATCAATAGCATGAGGGTCATATATTGCCATGGAGATTAAGTAGGCCCTACCGATTATCAAATGAAGTTGATTTTAGTCTTATTCTATATCCTCATAACCCCTATGGTACATGTAAATACAGACTTCACATTTAATGTGGAATTTGTTTTTCCAATATATAAATGAAAACAAGGGTCTGTATTGTTTAATTTCCTTTTAGCAATCAATTCAAGGTAATTCTTACATAAGCAATGTCTATCTGTTTTGCGCCTTTATGGCACAGAGCACCAATGCTGTAACACACTGCTTTTCTCAGTTTATGCGCCATATAATCTGCTACTTGTATGCAAAATTTCAGTAATTACTATGCAGGCGTTGCCGAAATATGGAGACGTTTTTGACTAAACCATGCTCGCCCAGAGTATTACTTGGACCAGTCCAAAGAGTACTACCCAAAGATATCACCACTCATTACGTAATGCAACAGTGCTTCACACAAGACAGTAGGATAATTGCTACTGTCAAACCCGACTTCTTATTACTCTATTCGCATATCTCACGCGATATTCGTTCCTTAAAATAATGCTTTTTTTTACCTTGGCATACCTTTAAATCTAAAATATGTTATTGAATGTCGAGGATGTATTTGTTGGGTAGCAAGTGAGTATCTTAATTTGGTCATTTTGCGAAAACCCAGGATGTTACCATATAGCTAAAAGTATTTAAAAACAAGGCAACTTCAGCCTTTTGGTTGAATTTGATGTCCCAAACACAAAGGCACGAAAAAAAAAAAGGGACAAGAGCAACGATTGCCATATATATATATATATATATATATATATATATATATATATATATATATATATTTTTTTTTTTTTTTTTTTTTTGCGCATGCGCAATTATTCAATTCGGGACCCGCACCCGTTATTCAAATTAAAAAAATTCGGATATTTCAGATTGTTGTGTGAACGGGGTATTAGTTACAACAGGGTTTTAGGCAACGTAGTTGAAGAAGACACGAAAGATGCACGTGATTGGGGACTTAGTTTGCTCCTTGATTATTTTATATTTTGTTCAATGTCAGGGTAGAACTACAACTGGAGACGATGATATTTTGGAACAAGAAAAGGAAATTCGGGTAAGAGTTTACTCCATGTCAAGATATGGCGTCGTCCAATTTGATTTTTTTTCTTTATATTTGTTTTATTTTATATCAGTTAACTGTGTAAATTTTGAAAATATGTGATCGTCTAGTTATTAGTGTACTTTATGTACATAATAAGACTAACTCAGAGTACTGATACAGTGCACCCAAAAACAAGGGTTGTAATGGGAAACTAGGGAAACAATGATACGAGATAGGAAAAATGTCCTTAATTTGATAAAACATCACAGTGCATGTGAAACAGTAGAGACTTGGGAAGTGTATACAATTCCATAGCATACGGTACATATCCATCTTTAAGGAACGGAAATTTAATCAACATTAACAGCTGTCTTCTTGATGTTTTTGTTTATTTAATCACGCCCGCATATTTATCATTGACAAGGAAATACACTTTAATTTCAATGGCATGAGGGCCATCCTGTATATTACCATAGAGTTTAAGTATCAATTATCAAACGATGTGTTTTCTATATCCTCATAACCCCTATGGTACATGTATATACAGACTTGACATTTAATGTGGAATTTGTTTTTCCAATATATAAACGAAAACAAGAATTTGTGTTGTTTTATAACCTTTTAACAATAAATTCAATGTAATTCTAACATCAGTCCCTTAAATGAGTTCACCTAAATAATTTTAAGCCATTAAAAGCGTTATTCCAACTTTTCCAAATTATCACCAGTGAAACTAGTTATGCACCCAACAGAGGACGCTGATATCGGTGTCTAGTTACAGCTGCGGCCAGAGGTGCTTCATCTGGCTGCTTACCAGGGTTCTCAAACGGCAGGCTATGCCTTCTGACGGGTCTCTTGAGGTTTGATGCAGCATAATATAATTCCAGACATCAGTAGTAGTTTGTTCATGGATTCATAGTTGTTCTAGGACCAGTAGGCTGTTGATACGACGAGTATTGTCTAAAGGCTTCAGATCTGGCGACTTTGGTGGTCGCGGTAGCTGCTCAGACCTTGGTTCTACAAGTTACCTTCAATTGCAAGTGCTCTGTTAAATGAAATTATTCTTGAGGTGCTCACTAGCAAATGGTAGGCAGCTGGTTTCCTGGATATTCCTGTATTTGATCTAATTCAGTTTTCTGGTGATGACTACCAACTAGGTTTTGTCACCAACGTTAATTCCGCACGAAATATGCCCCCCCCCCCAGTCGCTCTGGGATCGAAACACATTTGGTCATAGGCCTCTTCGGGATATTTGTGAGGTCTAATTTTAGCAGTAAAGACTGAATTTGACCTCATAAGTTAAAACCACATGATCTCAATGATGTGCCCAAAGAGGTTGATGGTTCCCAACTCATAGCAGAAGTAGACGCAGATTTACAGTTTTCCTCAGAGGTCGCCTGGTATAATAACCTGCTTAAACCAGTCCAGTTTTGCGCCATTTTAGCACAGAGCAAAAGTGGTGTAACACACGTACTGCTTCATTCAGTTTACGTGTCATAACAGCTGCTACTAGTATGCAAAATTCCAGTATTTACTGTGCAGGCGTTGCCGAAATATCGAGACGTTTTTGATTGAACCATTCTCGTCCAGTGTAATACTTGGACCAGCCTAAAGAGTACTACCCAAAGAAATCACCACACATTTCGTGCTTCAGACAAGGCAGTCATTTAATTGTTACTCACAACTTGACTACTTATTTCTCTATTCGCATCTTTCACGAGTTACACGTTCCACAAAAATTAATGTATTTTTACCTAGGCATACCTTTATATCTAAAATATTTTATTAAATGTCGAGTCTGTACGAAATAGTTAAAAGTATTTAAAAACAAGGCCACTTAACAAGGAGAGGTTTGGATTGATAAGTAGAAACAAAAAGTCCCCAAGTTACTATCTTCTTCACTAAAAGACATAACTCGCAGGCATTTTAATTTTATTGCAGTCCGTCAAAAGAGAGATGGCCAACGAGAGTTCTTTATTTGAACACCGAATCCAGAAACTCGAGGCAACAGTCGAAGAACTGGAATTAGTGGTTTCTCGGATTACTGAGACTACACAGTCACCCCTAAGAGGTATGGCGATATAGAGCAAGACCGACCCAGCGCTGCTTCCTATCCTATCCTATCCCGTAGTCTCGACGCCACTTGCGGATTTTGCTACCGGCTCTCTCCACTCCCATCTGTCGTCTGATTTACTTAGGATGCTGCTCAACCACACTGACGTGGAAGAGTGCATTAAGGAAGTTTTTGGCCTTTACTGAAAGCTCAAAATTCGATGTTGCAAATAGTCTTGGACCGGCATCCGGACCTAACTTCATTACATGCAAGAAGCCTTTTGTAATGTTGACTTCTTTTGTTTACTGAAGAGCTCGTTCTCCAGTAAACAAAAGAATGCTGGAGAGCAAGCTCTTTCGTAAAGAAAAGTAGTCGACATCTAGTCATCTAGCAAAAGGCTTAGTGCATAGCTCTTCCTGACAATCAACCACATGCAGTTGTGCTTGTAGTATTATGTCTACATTTTCAATTTTTTCCTTGCAAGAAATACAATACTTGTTTGACCTCGTAAACTGAGGTCAGACACTCAACTAAAACCTAACTATCTCACTGTGGCTGATCACAAAGTATGACCTGTCAATTCCGAAGATGAATGCAAAAATCAGTTACCGTGTCCTTTTAGGTCCTCCGGGATATCCGGGACCATCGGGGCGCCCTGGTCTGCCCGGACCGAAGGGAAACCCTGGAAGGCGAGGCCCGAAAGGAGAACCAGGGAGGATAGGAGGGAGTAGCACCATGGTGTCGGCTGAACCCATCGGAGAACCCGACGGATGTGGATGTAAGGGTGAAAAAGGAGAGGTGGGGGCTCCAGGCATTCGAGGTCCAGTAGGCATCATTGGATTTCCTGGTCCCCGAGGTACTGTATGTGGGGGAGAACCAGTGACTTTCACGATAATTGGTTATAAAAATAAATAACATCAATGAAATACTAATAATAAAACCACTTAAGGAAGTAAATGTTATGTAAAAACCTTCATTACAAAAAGATCATACAACAGACCTACATGTACGTATATCTTATCTGAGATGAGGTAGAAGATAGCCGAAAAAGTATTAAATTTTTACAATAGACACATTAGCGTTTACAATTCGAAATGCAATTTTACTTAACTTTTTAATACAAACGTGTTTGAGTTAGCTTGTATTTGAGGATGAAATTATACGCATTAGTCAATTTTAATAAAAAAATTTGGGGAAAAAAATCCAATTATTTATGCAAACCATCAAATGAAATTGCTTATAATTTTCTAATCTAGACTTTGATAAAGTTTCTTTATTATTTAGGTTTACCTGGCCTCAGAGGTCCACCTGGCCCCCCTGGTCCCCCGGGCACCGACTGCGTTCATGAAGATAGCTATACTATACAAGATATAGCACCCCGCTATAGCCCAACAGACCAATCAGGTTCGAGAGGGTTTTGTGTGTACTCTGCATTATATTTAGTATCGGCAAATATCTTATGCTATGCACAATGATAATACACTTGACGAAAAAGTTCGGAAACATGAAATTATTTTTCAGATTGGAAAACCTTCAGTGTGTAAAAAGGTAACGAATGGTGGGTGCATTATACATCAGTATTTGATTGAAATATTTACCTTAGCTCATTTGATTATTTTATAATTATTCAAAATAGCGATGCTTCCAAAATTTTGGTCGAGGATAGATTGACATGTAAAAATATAATCATCAGATAAATACACACGGTGTGAACTAACATCAATTGATCAAAAAATTAAGATATTGCATACTTTGTCTATCGATTTGATGTGTTCTTCTGTTATGCGATTTTCGTCATAATACTCGAATTCAAATGTCAACAGCATGGTTATTGTCACTGAAAAACAATCTTTCCAATTTCCAACTTTTAGAAAATCCCAAGCAGGAATGGCGTCTCCGTTTGATAAATGGTGGAACGCCATACCAGGGGCGTGTTGAAATCTTAGTGGATGGCCAATGGGGCACCGTGTGCGATAATAACTTTAATGTCAATGCCGCCAAGGTAGTTTGCAAGCAGCTCAACCTCCCTCATTCTAGCCCAGCTGTCCAAGTTGGAGCCCACTATGGTGCGGGCGAGGGGCCTGTTTGGATACAAAATGTCTCCTGCAGCGGCACAGAGGCCAGATTGGACCTGTGCCAACACAGTGTGCGGGGTAGTATTTCCTGTTCCCACCAGAGGGACGTGGGGGTTACCTGCTTGTAACCAGGAGACGCTTGGACGCCCTGTCGTCGATTAATAGGATAACGTATAACTATAATGCTTTGGTCTTATTCATTTAAATGAACAACAGTAGTATATATTACCACAATACTGACTGTTTCTAAATATATATTCGTTGGTGATGGCAAACATTAACGAGCGGTGGTGTGATGTTTTATTTTCTTTTAGGCTTATGCATGCGAAAAATAAACTTTTTGGCGATGTTAGTCTTTTGTTTTAGATTGGTGCAGTTGGGACAGGAATATGCTAATTCAATATTTAATAAATCTTTGTGAAGAAAGCAAAATCCTTTTCTTTTTTTAACCAATGAATTAATTTCACAGGAAAATGTTTACTGTGTAAATGTTCCTATCTCTCATACCCAGGAAGTAATGGTACCACATCACGATTACAAATTGTATTGTTTCCTTCGTTATGTCATGTCTCCACCAAAGATGACTTTTGAAGTGAATATTTAACTCATAGAGCACCACACTTCCTCGTGCCCTGGTGGTATGTATGTAACAGCTCCCTGTCCCTCTGAACAGATGATGATATATAGAAATGAAAAGTAATTAGGAAAAAGTAACATGATTTATCGCTATTTTCCCCATTCTAATTTTGTCGCTATACATACATGTATCCATATTATTATGATGAGTGGCTTATAACTTAAAGACTGCCAGCGACTGTAGCCAAAAAAACTTTAAAAATATATAATAGAGGATTAACTCCTTTCGTGCTAAAAAGACTTGACATGCTGTAAAAGGAAGCATATAATGAGTAACAAGATAAAAAACTGGCAAAAATGACCTTTGAACATCCGTCATGTGAGAGTCAAATTTTCCGTTATTTCGATACATATTTCAACACAACAGCGCGCGGGGGTCCAGTCAACCGTTTTAAAGTTATTTACTTCAAGAAGAAAACATGAAAATAATCGGTTCAAAATTTGAATTTTTCATTTTATTAGTTATTATCCACTTTGTTCAAAGTCAGCCAACGACGGAATATGAGGTGATGCATTCCGAAAGAGACGGTTTCGTAGAAGGAGCAGATCATCGATGGAATCTCCTACTTGCCCAGGAAAGAGAAGCGTTTTCTGCAGCTGAAATTCTGGTGAGAATTTGTTTGTTATTCGAAAAGTATAGGGGCCTAACGGTTTTACATGGACAGCGGTTATACTGTGTTATCTTAGATGTTGAACATTTTTTTTAAATTATTCAAATATTTTATTTTGATATTTGATTTTAATTAATAAATGCGTATATTTCATTACAAGTCGAGAGATCCATAAAACGTCGGTAAAGGGTGATTGGGGTAAATCTGACACCAATAGAATTAACGTGATAAAGGATATTCGATAAGGAAAGACCAGAAAATTGAACAGATTGAGATCTTAACAGGATAGAAATGGTTATTACTCACACAGAATTACTCGAAGCCACGTTTTTCGTAAAAAAATACAGTAAAATAATATTGAAGACAGATATTCTTCTGATGACAAACCAGTCATCCAAACTGCGGTGATTTTGTTTTACGTATTTATTTTCTCGGTTTTCATAGGATGTGTCTTTGAACATAAGAAGTTTCTCGGAGCAAAAACTGCAAATAAAACATGACGGAGACGTTCAGAATGGGACTATTAACGTCTGCCAATCAATCCTACTGGTCCCTTCAAACGCCTTAATCACAGTGGTCCCAGGTTAATCGACGTTTAATCACGCGATTCTTAATGGTAAAACTGCTGATATCTCCTGCCGGGGAAAGGGAGGGGGCTCTTGGAAAGCCAGACACGCAAACGTATGTGCAATCGGCGTAATGTTACCCCTACATAAACTTATTGTAAAAAGCCCCCTTCCCTACCTTAATTTTAGGAGACACTGAAATCCTGCTTCTATTGGCTCCATACCCAAGATTTTCCTACCCCCAAGTCTGTTCTAAATTTAACAGCAGTACAGAAACTTGTTGTTAATGAAAAATAAACCTCCAGGATCTTATCAAATTGGTTCTGACACCAAGGGCATTTAAATCTCCACATGCAGTGTTTTCACATTGAAACTTGGTTGCACGCAGTATATAGCCTATTGTTTTCTTCCTTCATTTAATTTCAGCAGCGCTTCTTTGCATTAGCATCCGGATTTATCAAACAGAACCAGCTTTAAGTCGTTATTAAACTCGTGACATATATATATATATATATATATATATATATATATATATATATATATATATATATATATATATATATATATGTGTCGCACGTCAAATACCTCTTCAGGCAGATTCTTTATCCACTTATGCCGAATCCCAACTGGATCCCAACTGGGAATATTGCATTAGTTAATAGGTCCTGTTAATGAATTTCTAAATTATCAGTTTATGTAAAATTGCCATTGTGTTGCCTCTTTCCTGATCTATAAGTAATTAAAAGAGAGAGGAAGAGGAAGAGAGAAAGGTGTTAAATGATATTATTTTTTTGCGTTGAACTAAAGAACTAAACAAGTATTAATATTATATGTAGAGTAGCACTCAGAGAGTGCAGACCTCCGCCAAGGCACTCAGAGAGTGCAGACCTCCACCAAGGCACTCAGAGAGTGCAGACCTCCGCCAAGGCACTCAGAGAGTGCAGACCTCCACCAGGGCACTCAGAGAGTGCAGACCTCCGCCAAGACACTCAGAGAGTGCAGACCTCCACCAGGGCAACTCAATTCTCATTATTAACCTTTTTTATTTATCAGTTAACAGTGGCGAACTTAGAGGGGGTCAGGGGATACTGCCCCCCCCCCCTTGATTTCTGGTACCCTCTTGGAATTAGAATTTTGAATAGCTGAATCATAGCTGTAAGCCCTACCAAATGGCACCTGGGGGGGGGGGCATCGCATCAGCGGACCCCCCCCCTTCAAATAATCCTGGATCCGCCCCTGGTTGATAAGCTAGCCCAATTCTCATTATCTGATTTATTGAGGTTTCACTGGTAACTACAAGTACAATATTTGGGGAGTTATAAGCTAAAATATACCTTGTTGGCCCTATGGTAACGCGGCCGTGACGCCGTGTACCTCACAAAACATGACTTAGCTGCTTAAGTACATATCTTCAACAACAAGCTAACTGTTTGAATCTCAAAGCTTAGAGCTCAGACAGCTTTAGAGAGTGATTTATTTCAAAGAGTCCCCTTATTACCAATCAGACTAGTTCACGCGATGTGACATGTCTATTCAAAGCGGAACACCGGTGCAATGTGACAGAGAGACCCCCATGATAGAGAGTCTGCGCCCCTTTCATTTGTGCAGGTACGCCTCACCCTAGATTTGAACCCACTTAGGTCAGGCTAACCCTAACCATTTTTTCTAAATATAGGGCGGACTGTCTGTTACACGTGCCCTCAGTTTCGTTACACCGGACTGTATTTTAACCACAGTGATATCTACCGGTGTGATTGCAAAGTAATCTCAACTAACGCAACAGGTCTGCGACTTAGCACGTCGTTACACTATCTCGCAATGCTGAAGAATCCTTTGTAAAATTCCTAAATCCAGATGATGATCCGAATCACCACCGAAACATAATCATTTTTGTATTAGCCCATTTCTGAACTGTACCTAAAATTTCATCAAAATTCATCGATAAATCTATAAGGTACACTCGTGACTAACAGCCAACGGAGGTGGAAACATACATGTTACTTCGATATAGGTTAATTTTTAGAACTTAAAAGGCTAATTCCCTCTTCTGAACAGGTTGTTTTTGCTTGTGCTGCATTGGTTTCTTAGTCTACGTAAAAAAATTGTGGACGGATTTTGATCAATTTTTGATAAATTTTCTTAGAACTTCTGACATGATGAAATTTTCTTAGAACTTAGAAAGCAGTAGATTCAAATTGGTATCCATAAGTCAATTGATTCATTGATGATGAGGACTGGGCCGTCGCGGCGGTGATATGCGCTCTCTGAGCACTTTTCTGATTTTGTTGTTTGTAGGAGATCAAAAGGACTCTTCATGAATTCCGAGAAGAGAAAAAAATCCTAGAAGAGAGAATAAGTAACCTGGAATTAACGGTTTCTCGCATGAATGAGACGTCACCGTCTCCGATTCAAGGTAAGAAGACAGTTCGAGGTCGACGCATCGGCAGCTCTTTAAGTAAATTGTAATATTTATGATTAACGCGTTCAAGGAAGTGAAGATTAAATATGTACACATATGAACAGAAAAAAAAATAGATGCTCTTAATAAAACCAATTAATTCTGTTAAATCTACGATTTTATAAAATCGCCATAGTCGTAAGTGTTTCAAAAATATCATTATAAACTTAAGATTTACTTCTTCAGTAATACATTTTACACAACCACAACGTGGTATTTCAGTTTTGTTCTATCATCTGAAGTGAACCATGTGGAAATATAATATGTGGTTTGGAACGGGGAAAAGACGTTTGTGGAACAATAATCCTACCAATATTTTCAAAATTTCATTATATTCAAACTGTTTTCATTCTTTAACAGTAAAATTGAGTAAAATTAATAAGATTGCTTTTAGTAAAATGATATGAATAAAAATATGGAAATGCCTGTATGAACTCCAGCCTTCAACCTTTACCACTGCGCTCTTTCCCTTCTTGTTCTTTTTCAATATCTATAACATAATAACCTTAAGGTCTATCATTTTATTCTATTCTATAACGGAAAGTTGTTTTTTATTCCAAGACCATAAACTAAGTCTACCACAACGGGAGAAATCAATAACAGTCCACTAAATAAAGCCAATGTCTCTTTATATCATGTAGGTCCTCCCGGTCCTCCAGGCAATACAGGTCTCCCTGGTCAACCAGGTACAAAAGGTCCAAAGGGGGACATTGGGCCCCGAGGAGACCCTGGTCCTCATGGTGACCCTGGAGAGACGGGACCCCAGGGGTTACCGGGTCTGCGAGGGGCTCCTGGAATTCCAGGTTCTCCTGGATTGAACGGACCCAAGGGTTCCGGAGGGGAACGTGGTGCCCCGGGTTCACCAGGACAACCTGGTCTGAAGGGAAGCCCCGGGAAGCCAGGACCAAAGGGTAACCGCGGAGATACGGGTGGTGAGGGGCCACCGGGTGGCACTGGGCCGGGTGGACCCCGTGGAGAAGCCGGTAGTCCTGGACTAAAAGGTGATAAGGGAGAGAACGGTGGTCAAGGAATAAAAGGACAGCGAGGATTACCTGGATTAACTGGCCTGCCAGGAGCAAAGGGTGTAAAAGGCGACGCCGGATCGAGAGGACCGACAGGTTTGCCAGGTGTACATGGTCCAAATGGGGTGCCAGGTTCAAAAGGATCAAAAGGAGACACTGGAGATATTGGATTGCCGGGGATAAAGGGTGAACCCGGCATTAGAGGAACAAAGGGACAGAAAGGGGAACGAGGTATCCCAGGCCCCGCAGGTCCACAAGGTAACCAAGGTGACAAAGGAATGAAGGGGGTCAAAGGAGCCATGGGTCCGCAAGGCCCCAAAGGACAAACTGGGAGATCTGGCACCATGAGCAAGGGCATCAAAGGAGAGGCTGGACCTCCTGGTAGACGGGGAATGAAAGGCGAAACGGGCCCAATCGGACCAAACGGAATCCCAGGGCGCCCAGGACCTGCAGGTGCCAAAGGATCAAAGGGCGTTAAAGGGCAGCAAGGGTCAGCAGGACTAAAGGGTGAACGCGGAGTTGCAGGCGCTCCAGGCCAGGCAGGGACTCCTGGTGCCAGAGGACCAAAAGGCCAGAAAGGTCAAAACGGTTCTCCTGGTCCCCGAGGCCTGAAAGGGACACCTGGAATACAGGGCCCTAGAGGACCACAAGGTCCACGGGGTTCACAGGGACCAAAGGGGGCGCCAGGAGCGAGAGGACCCAAAGGTGCAACGGGTGCGAAAGGAGGTCTTGGACCCCATGGCCCTACCGGACCAAAAGGCCTCCAAGGGTCAGTAGGGTCGAAAGGGAGCCCAGGCCCTCGTGGGCTGTCAGGAGCAGCAGGGCTAAAAGGAGCAAAAGGGGCCTCCGGTCCAAGAGGTTTGAAAGGGGCAAATGGTTTGAAGGGGAATCAAGGACCACGTGGAATGCCGGGCCTTAAAGGAGTTAAGGGTTCCGCAGGAGCCAGGGGCAGTACTGGGGCAAAAGGACAGAAAGGTCAGCCTGGTGCCCGTGGTCTTCAAGGCTTACGTGGGTCACCGGGGCCTCGGGGACCTGCTGGTCCTGGAGGGGCAACTGGACCAAAAGGTCTCAAAGGAGAGCGTGGATCAGGGTCAACTCGAGGTGAGTTACCTTTTCGTAAGAAATTTAACCTCGCTAATATCTATTTGTTTTTGCCGAGCATATTTTCAAAGGAATTAACCCCGCAAATAATATAATAATTATTCCCGTTAAGATAAGTCTGGTGCCGAAACATTCATCGACCAAGTTTATCCGTTCACCTCCGCGTTTTCTTGTCTAAGTATGGTAGTAGTTATTGTTTATTTGCAACTCATTTATAATAAATTGTTGTGAATAAGATCAATGCGCGTGGAACTTTAAAATTTGAATTCTATCCTGCAGTTGTCCGTCTGGTCAATGGCAGAACATCCTACCAGGGTCGAGTTGAAATCTTCCACAACGGCCGATGGGGGAGCGTGTGTGACGATAACTTTAGTGCCGTAGACGCCAAAGTGGTCTGTAGGGAACTAGGCCTCCCGTACGATAGAGTGACAGTTCAGAACTCTGCGCACTACGGAAGCAGCAGCGGACCAATTTGGCTGGATGACGTCAACTGCACAGGGATGGAGGCTAGCTTAGAGCTTTGCAGACACCAGGGTTGGGGCACACATAACTGCAACCATAGTGAGGATGTCGGCGTGACCTGCAGATAATTAGCTGGTGGCGTTGCGAGAAGACACGTGAACAGCGATTTGAGAGGCCAAAAAGCTGCAACAATAGGCCTACTTACCTGTATGACTTAACATTATTATGCGAAGAGGCATTTAATAAGTGTATTACGTACTCCAAGACAAAATTTGCGAAATGCAGGACATTATTTCTATGTTCTAGACTGGCCTAAATGTTGAGCAAACTTACTTTCATCATGACGATGTTTAAAAGTTTTGTAATTATGTATATGTAGACGCGGGGAAAATGTCATTTAGTTGAGATTTGATGTACATTTGTACCATAACGACAATAGCAGATAGGTAAAACATTAATGTTATTTTAATTAAACCGCCATAAAGTCTGTTCTATCGAATATATATGGATATAGTACGTTGTTAAATTTTAAAGTGGGATTTTGTACATAAAATATGCCACAAAATTATTGAAAAATCACTCCTGTTTGTTCATCTGAGAATAAATAGTAACCAAAATAGCAAATATGAAATACATGTAGATTGCATGTTCCTTAATGGCAAAGTCATTGACCAAACAACGATTAAAAGCGCTACTAGTGGATATTTGGCCCTTTGAAATGTGCCATGCTAAAACATGATTTATTGAATTTTTGTGGGGGTGTCGGTGAGAAAAGTGTGTACTAGTACAATGTGTACAAGCTGGGCTTTATTTTTGAATGAATGTTTCAGAGAGAAGTATTTTGATAAACATAATATAATATATTATATGTGTATATTGTTAAAAATAAAGTAGATGAGGAGAAATAAGCACATATAAAATAAGGTGCCTGCTAACTGAAAATTTGCTCCGAAAACTGGAAAAAAGATAACATTTTGCATAGATCTGTTTGGAGCATAACATTTGCCATGTTTAAAGGGAGACCAGTCGAAAATTTCAGCCCATTTAGTGTTTAAAAAACCTGTGTGAAAACGTTCTTCCTTTTAACCCTACCCGTAATTACAATACTCATAAATTTTTTGGGTTGTGACACCCACTCGTAGTTGCCATGTGTCACTTACAAACTTTGATTGCTTAGACTGGATAAAATTGTAAAAATACATTTAAAAGACAAACGCCTTTTAACACACTTCTGTTTGAGCTCTGGACCAGTGAAATGACATATTACAAATAGACCAAGCGGGAAATGCGATAAAAAATAAAAATAGAGTGGCAATTTGAGGTAAAATATTTGGTTCCAGCACTGCTTTTATGGAGCATTTTAGTGCAAGTGAAGTCATTAAAATATTCTATGATTTTTATGTAGGCCACCACATATTAACAACCATTTCTTTTCAATTTTAATACAAACAGAAGTAGTTGAAGATGTGGGTGCAAAGCGTGCGCTCTACCACTGAGCTACATCTACTTTTGACTTTACAATGTAGCAATTAGACTGTTCTGAAGAATTTTTATACATCTTTCAATAACTCGGTAAAATATTAGCTTTATGCTCAATTATATCAGCCTTATAAACATTGACTTAGTTGGGACCTGACATGTCTTTGAGCATATAGATAGCAAACGATGAAAATACTGAATTTCAAAGAAGAAAAAATCCGTGAACGACCCTTTGAAAATTCCCAACACTTATAGTATTACCAAATTATACGCAACAAGACATCTGTTCAACTTTAACTACACAACTGTACATTACTATTATTATATATTAATACATATCAACACGTTATAACACCCCATCATCATCAATCGATTGATATAAGCCTATTACATCAATAATTACACGTATCAATCAAGAAGTGCACTAAGATCAATACGTGATAGAGAAATATAATAGTATACAGTGTCAGTAACTTTGATGAAGCCAGGGTTGGAAACAACTTTTTATTACATTAATATATATTTTTATTAATTGAGATTATATTTTCAAATAACTTTTTATAATAAGAAAAATGAGAAAGACAATTAGTCTGGATGATTGGTGCTATAAATTGTCCAAATTGCTCAGAATGTGGGAAAAAGCATGAATCTTGGCACAAACGTTCTTTGGACTATGCTGATCATTTTCAAGAGGAGTGCCAAAAATTTCAAAGCGTTGTTTAGCAACCGTTGCTATGGCAGTAAATTATTTTAGTAACAAGCTAATTGGACCTTTCTTGTCCAGTTTTAAAGATTTAGAAAGTTATTACAGGTATATCTAATATTGTTTATGTGAATGTTAATCAAAGAGTCTTAATCAAAGCCTTAAGGCACAAATGTTACAGCTCGGAATGAAATCCGCACGTGCAGGTGATGCCAAGTGTCACTAGTAGCGCGGCAAAGATTGAGGTAGTAAGGAAGACCGGTGCTAGTTGGGCCCCGTGGTAAGTTGGCCCCCATCAATTTATGACAAAGTAACTATGGGGTAAAAAGAATTGATCACATCGTTTTGTATAGTGCTAAGAAAGCGTCGGCAGTGAGTCCAAATGAAATAATTTAGCATCTTAAAGTAACTTTATTAAAGAGACTTGATGGGGGTCCAGCTTACCCCGGGGTCCAGCTAGCCCCGGTCTCCCCTAGTCCCAAACACAAACGTGCGGAAAAAACAGAGTGCGAAAAGAGCAATGATTGCCGCCATATTTTTTGTATACATAGATTCTGCGCATGCGCGATTATTCAAACCTGAACCCGCATCTGGATTTTCAGTAGACGATTCGGTTCCGCTGTACTGTGTGTGTGGCCAGACAAGCGAATCGAATTTTTCACCCTTTATATTTCAAATATCCGGATATTTCAGATTGTAGTGTGAACGGGGTATTACAACAGGGTTTCAGGCAATGTAGCTGAAGAAGACCCGAAAGATGCACGTGATTGGAAACTTCGTTTGCTCCTTAATTATTTTATATTTTGTTCAAAGTCAGGGTAGAACTACAACTGGAGATGATGATATTTTGGAAAGACCAAATGAAATTCGAGTAAGAGTTTACTCCATGTCAAGATATCTCGTCGTTCAATTTGATTTTTGTTTTCTTTATATCAGTTTTATTTTTTATTGGTTTACTGTGTAAATTTTGAAAATATGTGATCGTCTAGTTTTTTAGTCTGATCTCTCTATATAATAAGAATAACTCAGAGTACATCTGAAAACAAGGGTTGTAATGGGACACTAGGGAAACAATGATACGAGATAGGAAAAATGTTCTTAATTTGATAAGACATCACAGTGCATGTCTTAATGCATGTCTCAATGCAGAAACTTGGAAAGTGTATTCAATTCCATAGCATACGGTACATATTCATCTTTAAGCCGTCAACGATAATGTAATCAACATTAACATTAGCTGTGTTCTTGATTTTGTTGTATATTGAATCACGCCCGCAGATTTATCATTGACCAGGAAATTCTCTTTAATATCAATAGCATGAGGTTCATACTGTATATTAACAGGGAGTTAATATACAGTATGAAGGCAGGGAGAGAATTATGAAATGAAGTTGATGTTAGTGTTTCCATATATATCCTCATAACTACTATGGTATATACAGACCTGACATTTAATGTGAATTTTTTTAAATATATAAATGAAAACAAGGATTTATATTGTGTTTTATTGCCTTTTTACAATTAATTCAAGGTAATTCTAATATTATTTCCTTTAATGAATTCAGCTAAATGAGCAAACAACAAAAATACATGGCTGAGTCATACAACGACCATTAAAAGCGATATTTCAATCTTCAAATTTTCCAAATTATCACCTGTGAAAGAGTTATGCGCCCAACAAAGGACGATCATATCAGTGATCATATCATATCTAGTTACAGCAGCGGTCAGTGGTGCTTCATCTGGCTGTTTACCAGGGCTCTCAAGCGGCAGATATACTTACTGACAGGTTTCTTGGAGTTTGATCTGGGAAATATAATTCCAGGCATCGATAGCAGTTTGTTCAATTCGATTCATATTTGTTCTAGGACCAGTAGGTTGTTGATACGACGAGTACTGGCTACCCACAGATTGTCTATAGGCTTCAGATCTGGCGACTTTGGTGGCCGCGGTAGCTGCTCAGACCTTGGTTTTACAAGTTATCTTCAATTGCAAGTGCTCTGTTTGAGAAAATTGTTCTCGAGGTCCTCACTAACAAATGGGAGGCAGCTGGTTTCCAGGACATTCCTGTATTTGATCTAGTTCAGGTTTCCGTCGATGACTACCAATGAGGTTTTGGCACCAACGTGAATTCCGCACTAAATACACCGCCCCGCCACACTTAGTCAGGGGTCTCTTCGGAATATTTGTGAAGTCTAATTTGAGCAGCTTGGCGTTACAGATGAAATCTGATCTCGTAAGAGAAAAGCACATGGTCTCAATGATGTGCCCAAATAGGTTGATGGTTCCCATCTCATAGCAGAAGTGAACGACGATTTTGAGGCTTCCTCAGAGGTCGCCTGGTATAGTAACCTGCTTAAACCAGTCCGGTAGTAGCAAAGGGTCTTGCAAACACTTACTAATGGCAATCTCTCCCTCAGTCTGAAGGGAATGGGTTGTCTTTGTTTAGTTGGAGTAGCAACGTCATACGTAACACACCCAAACCCAATATAGAGGTGCAATTGATGTCACAAGCATGTTATTAAAAATATTTACTGGACAGATTGCTAACTGTGTTTGATTATTTTAGGGTCCCACATGAAGAAGCTTGTATTAAAGTTTCACTCTCCTGGAACCATGAATAATTAAAAATAATTAATCGTTTAACCCCAAAAAGGAACATACGTTACTGTCACAAATACAAAACGTCCAAGTGTGAAACGTTCTACTCACTTGGAAAATTCAGTCATCACTGGTTTTGTTCATTGATTTATCTCCTACAAGTATAACGTTGCTAAAAATTATAATAATCTTCTGTATAGAGCAGTTAATTGTTTTTGACTTTAGTTTGCTTGTCACAGAATATTAAAAAAAATAGGGAAAATACACCCTACCGACAGTGAAATAAGCATTAAATAAAAATTTTTCCCTTCATGATCCAAATATTATATCAGAAATGTCAAACTATCATGGAACCATAATATACTAGTATTGTTCGGTAAGCAAAAGAAAACATTGTATCTCTTGCACACAAGTATTTGAACAAAATGAAACATTTTGACATTTTTTCTAGGGAACATCGTTACCTAGTATAAGTGTAGACGCAAAGCCCCCTGTAGAGATACAGTTTAAATATTTATAAAAACGTCCTTACGTCATGTCTAATTTACCATGACTGAACCACTAAAAAATATATCGGAACGCGGCATAAAAATGCAAATTAAATGGCAAGAACATACGTTACCGTACGGTTTTTTGGAACATACGTTACCATACAGGGGGTATAAGGCTCTTTGCGTAATGTTAAAGACATGGTAAAATTTAAAAATTGAATTTCAGTTGAGACAGTCGTGGATTTTTGTTCTATACACATAAGACATATATGTTTTGAAATATTGTATACAATTTGGAATTCATTCATTTTTATTTTTTGACACTTCAGCATGTGAAATGCACCTCTATATTGGGTTTGGGTGAAGAACATTGGGTTCTGTTTCCGGTGGTAGGTTTTGGGTGCCTTGGGCTTTGCCTCTGTGTTGGTACACCAGTCTGGGCATATCACTGTTAGACAATGCAGTGCATTCCATGTGACACAATAAGCTATCTGTCAATGTCTATCTGTTTTGCGCCATTCTGGCACACACTTCTTCACTCAGTTTTTGCTACTTATATACAAAATTTCAATATCTACTGTGCAGGCGATGCCGAAATATTGAGAAGTTTTTGGTTGAACCATGCGCGTAGAGTATTACTTGGACCAGCACAAAGAGTACTACCCAAAGAAATCACCAAACATTACGTAATGCAACAGTGCTTCACACAATGCAATAAGATAATTGGTACTGACAAACCTGACTACTTATTTCTCTAATTCGCATATTTCACGTTCCCCCAAAAATAATACTTTTTTGCCTTGGTATACCTTTATATCTAAAACATTTTATTAAATGTCGAGGATGTATATGTTGGATAGCAAGTGAGTATCTTTGGGCATTTCGCAAAAATCCAAGATGGACGTCAACGTGCTCCACTGATTGACCTTGATAGAAGGCTTAATCATATTATATCAGGAATTTTTTAATTTAGATAATTTAGAAACTTTACGAAATAGCTTAAATTATTTAAAAAACAAGGCAACTTAACGACTTGACAAGTAGAGGTTTGGATTGAAAAGTAGACACAAGAAGTCCCCAGGTTGCTGTCTTCTTCAATAAAAGACCTAACTCACAGGCCTTTTAATTTTATTACAGTCCGTCAAAAGAGAGATCGCCAACGAGAGTATTTCATTCGAGCAACGAATGCAGCAGCTGGAGGCAAGAATTAAAGCCTTGGAATTAGAGGTTTTTCGGAATACTGAGACTGCACAGTTACCAGTAAGAAGTAAGAGGATATATGGCAAGACCGACACAGCGCTGCTTCTTGTCCTGTCCTATCCTATCCTATCCTATCCGATCCCGCAGTCTGGTTTACCGTAGGAGCGCCATTTCAGGATTTTGCCACCAGCTCTCTCCTTTCCCATCTGTCGTCTTCTTTTCTGAGGATGCTGATCAATCTTAGCCCTGTTCATTCTTTGATGTTATTCCCTTTATTTGCGCTGCTTAGGATAAAATTAAAAGAAAAAATTATATATCTCTACACTGCGTGCGTCACATAAAACCTTGCTCACCACTCTTTTTCTTTTTTTTTTGGTCGGAGTCTGAGCGTGTTGTTTGGATCAATGATATGATGACGAGTGAGTGAGTGTCGGACTCAGCAGTGCAGCACTATGAAAAGTTTTTTTTAACCTTATACGTAAACTATGGTCAGGCACTAAAATCCTTATTATTATACTGTGATCATATCCTTTTAGGTCCTCCGGGCTTTCCGGGATCATCGGAGATCCCTAGGATTCCTGGCACTAATGGCATTCCTGGCCCGCCCGGAAACGGAGAAAAGGGCAACCCTGGATGGCTAGGTCCGAAAGGGGAAGTAGAGATGATAGGAAGGAGAAGCACAATGGAGTCGGCTGGACTCATCGGAGAACTCGACGGATGTGGATGTAAGGGCGAAAAAGGAGAGGTGGGGGCTCCAGGCATTCGAGGTCCAGTAGGCTCCATTGGATTTCCTGGTCCCCGAGGTATGTGGGGGAGAACCAGTGACTTTTACGATATTTGGTTATGAGAATGAATAACAACAATGAAATACTAATAATAAAACCACTTTTAAGGTAGTAAGTGGTATGTAAAAAAAACCTTCATTACAAAAAGATTATTCAACTGACCTATATCTTATTTGAAATGAGATAGAAGAATGCCATATTCTTTTTATTTTTACGAAAGGCACATTAGCGTTCACAATTCGAAATGCGATTTTATTCAACTTTTTTAAAAAAAATTAAAATTTGTATTAAAATACAAACGTGTTTAAGTTTGTTTAAGCTTGTATTTTTGTGGATGACATTATACGCATTAGTCATATTTAATAAAAAGTTATCGGTAAAAATTCCAACTGATCATGCAAAACATGAAATGAAATTGCTTGTAATTTGTTAATCTAGACTTTTAATCTAGACTTTGATTAAGTTTCTTTATTATTTAGGTTTACCTGGCCTTAGAGGTCCACCTGGTCCCCCTGGTCTCCCGGGCGCCGACTGCGTTCATGAAGATAGCTACACTATACACGATGTAGCACCTCGCTATAGCCCAACAGAGCAATCAGGTTCTAGAGGGTTTTCTGTGTATTCTGCTTTATATTCAGTATCGGCGAATATCTTATACTATACACAATAATAATACAATCGACTAAAAAAGTTCGGAAACATGAAATTGTTTTTCAATAATTAAAAAAATATCATGCATTTGGAAAACCTTCAATGTGTAAAAAGGTAGCAAATGGTGGGTGCATTATCCATCAGCATTTGGTTAAAATATTTACCTAAGCTCATTTGGTTATTTTATAATTATTCAAAATAGTGATGCTTCCAAATTTTTAGATTGACATGTATGAATATAATCATCAGAAAAATACACACGGTGTGAAGCTGACATAAACTGATAAAAAAATTAAGATATTGCATACTTTGTCTATCGATCTGATGTGTTGTTCTGTTATGCGATTTTCGTCATAATATATATATAAATTCAAATGTCAACAAAATGGTAATTGTCATGGATAAATACTCTTTCCAATTTCCAATTTTTAGAAAATCCCAAGCAGGAATGGCGTCTCCGTTTGGTAAATGGTGGAACGCCCTACCGGGGGCGTGTTGAAATCTTAGTGGATGGCCAATGGGGTACCGTGTGCGATAATATCTTTAATGTCAATGCCGCCAAGGTAGTTTGCAAGCAGCTCAACCTCCCTCATTCTAGCCCAGCTGTCCATGTTGCAGCCCACTATGGTGCGGGCGAGGGGCCTGTTTGGATACAAAATGTCTCCTGCAACGGCACAGAGGCCAGATTGGATCTGTGCCGACACGGTGTGCGTGGTAGTGTCTCCTGCTCCCACCAGAGGGACGTGGGGGTTACCTGCTTGTAACCAGGAGACGCTTGTCGTCAATTTTAATCTTAAAAGGATTTAAAATATAACTATAATGCTTTGGTCTTATTCAGTAAATTGAGCAAAACAAGTACATGTTTCTACTTCACGAAAATGAACAAAACTAGTACATATTATCGCAATACTGACTGTTTCTAAATATATATTCGTTTGTGATGGCAAACATTAACGAAAGACTGAGCGATGCTTCATTTTCTTTTAGGCTTATGCATGCGAAAAATTAACTTTTTGGCGATGTTATTTCTTTTTAGATTGGTGTAGTTGATAAACAGGAGGAACGCTAATTCAATATTTAATAAATATGTGTGAAGAAAACAGATGCCTTTTCCTTTCTACCCATTAAATTAATTTCACAGGAAAATGTTTATTGCTTAAATGTTCCTATCTCTCATACCCAGGAAGCAATGGCACCACATCACGATTACAAATTGTATTGTCTCCTTCGTAATGTCATGCCTCCACCAAAGATGACTTTTGAAGTGAATATTTAACTCATAGAGCGCTATTTTCCCCAATTTTCTCGTGCCCTGGTGGTATGTATGTATGTATGTATGTATAATAAGACCTCCCTGCCCCTCTGAACAGATGATGATATGTAGAAATGAAAAAAAAATTAGGAAAAAGTAACATGATTTGTCGCTATTTTCCCCATTCTAATTTTGACACTATACATACATGTACATGTATGCTTATTGTGATGAGTGGCTTATAACTTAAGACTGTCGGCGACTGCTGCCAAAAAACTTTTAAAAAATATAATATAGGATTAACTCCTTTCGTGCTAAAAAGACCTGACATGTTGTAGAAGGAAGCATATAATGAGTAACAAGATAAATAACTGGCAAAAATGACCTTTGAACATCCGTCATGTGAGAGTCAAAATTTCCGTTATTTCGATATATATTTCAACACAGTGCGCGGGGGTTCAGTCAATCGTTTTTTAAAAAGTTATTTACTTCAAAAAGAAAATATGAAAATAATCGGTTCAAAATTTGAATTTTTCATTTTATTAGTTATTATCCACTTTGTTCAAAGTCAGCCAACGACGGAATATGAGGTAATGCATTCTGAAAGAGACGATTTCGTGGAAGGAGCAGATCATCGATGGAATCTCCTACTTGCCCAGGAAAGAGAAGCGTTTTCTGAAGCTGAAATTCTGGTGAGAAATTGTTTGTAATTCGAAAAGTGTTACATGGATGACGATTATTTGACAATACTTTACACCTCTTAGTTATCTTTCATGCTAACCGCTATTGAAATTATTGAAATATTTTATTTTACAATTTTATTTAAATGCAAAAATACGTATTTTTCGTTAAAAGTTGAAAGATTCATGAAATGTCAGTAAAGGGTGTTTGGGGTAAATCTGAAGCAAGTAAAATTTTACGTGATGAAGGAAAGATATGAAAATTGATCAGATTGAGAAGATCTTAACAGGATGTTCATTGTTATTACTCACACAAAATTCATACCATGCTTTTCTTAAAAAATAAAATAATAGCCTACTAAAAGCTGTAAGGGGGCAATTAACTACGGTGCGCGCTCGGCTGACTGCAATTTAGCGTGAACCCCCAGGGAGTTAGGTCAATCTAAATCTAAATGTCTGGATCGATCTAAATCTCTGGGTATGCACCCTAAGACTGCCTGGTTAATCGACGTCTAATCACGCAATTCTTAATGGTAAAACTACTGATACCGACTGCCGGGGGAAAAGGAGGCGGTGGGGAGGGGGTTCTTGGAAAGCCATGTGTGCAAACGCATGTGCAATCGACGTATTGCTACCCCTGCCTCCCCCCAATCCTCACCTTAATTTTAGGAAAGGCTTTTAAACTCAAATCCTGCTTTTATTGGCTCCATACCCAAGATTTTCCTACCCCCAAGTCTGTTCTAAATTTAACAGCAGTACAGAAACTTGTTGTAAATGAAAAATAAACCTCCAGGATCTTATCAAATTGGTTCTGACACCAAGGGCATTTAAATCTCCACATGCAGTGTTTTCACATTGAAACTTGGCCGCACACAGTATGTGGCCTATTGTTTTCTTCCTTCATTTTTAAAATTTCAGCAGCGCTTCTTTACATTAGAATCCGGATTTATCAAACAGCACCAGCTTTAGGTCGTCATTGAACTCGTGACATAGGGTCCATTCCGACAGATATTTGGATCGATCTATCTCCCTTGGGAGTCTCACTAAAGTGCTGTCAACTTGACGGGCTTAAATGTCTGTCACGGTTAGTAAAGCTGTTAGGGGGTAATTATCTCTACCACCTAGCTGATTCGGTAGGCGTGCCAGACATTTAAGTCGGTAAGTTGACAACAATTTAGTGAGACTCCCCAGGGATTTAGATCGATCCAGATGGGTCGATCTAACAGGATCGGTCCATCTCCACGAGGTCCCTCAATAAATTGCTCTCAGCCCAAGCGGCTTAGACGTCTGGGACGCCCACTAAAGCTGCAAAACGATAGTTAATTACCCCCTGTCAGCCTCAGCAGGCGCGACAGACATTTAAGCTGCTCAAGTTAATTGCGATTAAGCGAGAATTCCCTCGGAGATATGTCAATCCAAAGTTAGTACAACAGGGTCTGGAAATGGCCTCTCATACAACTGTGTGTGTGTGTGTGTGTGTGTGTGTGTGTGTGTCACACGCCAAACCCTATTCCGGCAGAGTCTAAAACCGCCTAGGCACAATCCACAACTGGAAGTATTGCATTGATTGTTAACAGCATTAGTCAATAGGTCCTGTTTATGAATTTCTAAATTATCGGTTTATATGAAATTGCCATTTTGTTGCCTCGTTCCTGATCTATAAGCAAGTAAAAGAGAGAGGGTGTGAAAGAGAGAAAATTGTTTAATTTTTCTGCGTTGATCTAAAAAAACTAAACAAGTATTTATATTATATGTAGAGTAGCACTCAGAGAGCGCAGACCTCCACCAAGTCACTATTTTCATTGTTTACATGTTTTATTTATCAGTTAATTAATAAACTTAATTCTCATTTTCTGAATTATTGAAATTTCACCGATAACTACATCATCTGTGGAGTGATAAGCAAAAAATATGCTCGGTTGGCACTATTGCACCCTGAGCTTCAGAGCTAACTTGACACTAACCTTTTCACTGTAGCCTAGCTATCTCCATCGTGTCAAGTAACCTCTGACGAAAATAGTTTGACCTATTTTATATAAGCCAATCGAATCCATGTTTCAAAATTTTTCACCAAAGTTTGGTGAAAACGCTGATTGGTTGATCGTCAATCGGCAATCCTCGGCTGATTCCGCAAGCTCCATACTAACAACATAGTTATTGTCGAGTGCGGAGACATCCGAGTAGTTCCGAGTGGTTCCGAGTGCATAACCATACACAAAGAAAGCATGGAGTATATCGGAATTGAAACCAGAGCAGTATGATGCCCTGCATAATTATCTACTGAGGGATGATGTATTTTGCGTGCTGCCCACAGGTTACGGCAAGTCCCTGATATTCAGCCTTATCTTTGATTGGTCCGGATTTGAACAAAGCGCGCTTTGGCTCGTTCGCGTTCATTGGCTAGATCGTTCAATGAGTCATTGAGTGCGGGCTTTAAATTTGATTGGCGGGCGGCGGGGGCATTCGAATCTGGTCAGAGGTTACTTGACACGATGGAGATAGGCTACAGTGAAAAGGTTAGTGTCAAGTTAGCTCTGAAGCTCAGGGTGCCCTATTGTAACGCGGCTGTTGAGAAGTGTACCTTACAATACATGACTTGCTTATGTAGATATCTTCAACAACAAGCTGAGTGTGAAGTAGTTTGAATCTCGGAACTAAGAGTGCAGACAGCTTCAGAGAGCAATTTATTTAAGGGGACTATTTATTAAGAGTCCCATCATTATTACCATTCAGACTAGTTCACGCGACGTTACGTGTCCATTCAGAGCGGAACACCAGACTTTATTTAAACCACAGAGACATCTACCGGCGTGATTGCAAAGTAATCTCAACTAACGCAACAGGCCTACGACTTAGCACGTCGTTACACTATCTCGCAATGCTGAGAAATCCTTTGTAAAATGCCTTAATCCAGCTGGTGATCCGAATCACCACCGACACCTGATCATTTTTAAATATACCCATTTCTGAACTATCCTCAAAATTTCGTAAAAAATTATCCATGACAAACAGACAAGAGGAGGTGGAAACATAACCTACTTGGCAGAGGTTACTTTCTAGAACTCAAAAGAATAGTTCCCTCTAGTTCCCTGCTTAAGATGTTGCTTTTGCTTGTAGTGCATTGGTTTGTTAATGTACGTAAAAAATATGGACGGTTTTTTTTTTTTTTTTTTTGATAAATTATCTTAGAACTTCTGACATGATGAAATTTTTTTAGAACTTAGAATCCAGTAGATACTAATTGGTATATATCATCAGAAAAATACACACGGTGAATGAAGTAAATTGCTTCATTGATGAAGAGAACTGCGCTGGACGTCTCAGCGGTGATATGCACTCTCTGAGCACTTCTCTGATTTTGTAGGGAATCAAAAGAACTCTTCATGAATTCCAAGAAGAGAAAAAAATCCTAGAAGAGAGAATAAGTAAACTGGAGGCCACAAACAATGAGTTGCAATTAACGGTTTCTCGCATAAACGAGACGTCACTACCGCCCATTCAAGGTAAGAAGAAAAGGACTCATTGGCAGCTTTTAAAGTAAATTTCAATATTTATGCCTAACGTGTTCAAGGAAGTTATGTTAAAATATGTCACGTACAGCAGAAAAGAAAAGAAGTATAGATGCTCTTAAAAATACCAGATAATTTTGTAAAATGTACGATTTTGGAAATCACTATAGCCGTAACTGTTACAAAAACATCATTATGATTCTTAAGCTTTACCTCTGCAGTAATACATAATACACATGTACAACCACGTCATGGTATTTCATTTTTGTTTTTTATCTGAACTTATCCATACGGAAAGATGATATGTTAATTTTGGCAGGGGGGACATAGACGTTTGTGGGCCAATAAATCTATCAATATTTTTAAAATTTGATTTGATTTAAATTGTTTTTATTATCCACTAAAAATATTAAGCAAAATTTAGAAATTTGCTGCTAGTAAAATATACAGTATGAATGAAGATATGGAAATGCCTGTTTAAAGTCGAGCCCTTCTNGGGGGGGGGGGGCCCCCACCCAGCGGCCCCCCCCCCCCCCCCCCCCTCTTCAAATAATCCTGGATCCGCCCCTGGTTGATAAGCAAGCCCAATTCCCATTATCTGATTTATTGAGGTTTCACTAGTAACTACATGTACAATATTTGTGGAGTTATAAGCCAAAATATACCTTGTTGGCCCTATGGTAACGCGGCCGTGACGCCGTGTACCTCACAAAACATGACTTACGGATTATGTACATATCTTCAACAACAAGATTTATTTCAAAGAGTCCCCTCACTACCAATCAGACTAGTTCACGCGATGTTACATGTCTATTCAAAGCGGAACACCGGTGCAATGTGACAGAGAGACCCCCATCAGAGAGAGTCTGCGCCCCTTTCATTTGTGCAGGTACGCCTCACCCTAGTTTGAACCCACTTAGGTCAGGCTAACCCTAACCATTATTACTAAATATAGGGCGGACTGTCTGTTACACGTGCCCTCAGTTTCGTACACCGGACTGTATTTTAACCACAGTAATATCTACCAGTGTGATTGCAAAGTAATCTCAACTAACGCAACAGGCCTTTTACAGTGTACGTCGGTATTACACTACGGTATCTCGCAATGCTGAAGAATCCGTTGTAAAATTCCTGAATTCAGATGGTGATCTGAATCACCGCCGAAACATAATCATTTTTAAATTAGCACAATAAATTAACTATACATAAAATTTCATCAGAATTTATCGATAAATTTATAAGGTACGCTGGTGACTAACAGCCAACGGAGGTGGAAACATAGCTTACATGTTACTTCATCGACATAGGTTAATTTTGAGAACTTAAAAAAGTTAATTTTGAGAACTTAAAAGGGTAGTTCCCTCTTCTGAAGAGGTTTTTTGCTTGTGCTACATTGGTTTCTATTAGTCTACCGTCTACGTAAAAAAAATTGTGGACGGATTTTGATCAATTTTTGATAAATTTTCTTAGAACTTCTGACATGATGAAATTTTCTTAGAACTTAGAATCCAGTAGATTCAAATTGGTATCCATAAGTTAATTGATTCATTGATGACGAGGACTGGGCCGTCACGGCGGTGATATGCGCTCTCTGAGCACTTTTCTGATTTTGTTGTTTGTAGGACATCAAAAGGACTCTTCATGAATTCCGAGAAGAGAAAAAAATTCTTGAAGAGAGAATCAGTAACCTGGAATTAACGGTTTCTCGCATGAATGAGACGTCACCGTGTAGGATTCAAGGTGAGAAAACAGTTCGAGGTCGACGCATCGGCAGCTCTTTAAGTGAATTGTAATATTTATGATTAACGCGTTCAAGGAAGTGAAGATTAAATATGTATACATATGAAGAGAAAAGAAAAAATAGATGCTCTTAGTAAAACCAATTAATTCTGTTAAATCTACGATTTTATAAAATCAACATAGTCGTAAGTGTTTCAAAAATATCATTATAAACTTAAGATTTACTTCTTCAGTAATACATTTTACACAACCACAACGTGGTATTTCAGTTTTGTTCTATCATCTGAAGTGAACCAGGCGGAAATATAATATGTGGTTTGGAACGGGGAAAAGACGTTTGTGGAACAATAATCCTACCAATATTTTCAAAATTTCATTATATTTAAACCGTTTTCATTCTTTAACAGTAAAATTGAGTAAAATTAATAAGATTGCTTTTAGTAAAATGATATGAATAAAAAAATGGAAATGCCTGTATGAACTCCAGCCTTCAACCTTTACCACTGCGCTCTTTCCCTTCTTGTTCTTTTTCAATATCTATGACATAATAACCTTAAAGTTTATCATTTAATTTAAGGCCTCTATTCTATAACGGAAAGTTGTTTTTTTATTCCAAGACCATAAACTAAGTCTACCACAAGGAGAGAAATCAATAACAGTCCACTAAATAAAGCCAATGTCATTATATATCATTTAGGTCCTCCCGGTCCTCCAGGCAATACAGGTCTCCCTGGTATACCAGGTACAAAAGGTCCAAAGGGGGACAGAGGGCCCCGAGGAGAACCTGGCCCTCATGGTAACCCTGGAGAGACGGGGCCCCAGGGGTCACCGGGTGTGCGAGGGGCCCCTGGACTTCCAGGTTCTCCTGGATTGAACGGATCCAAGGGTTCCGGAGGGGAACGTGGTGCCCCGGGTTCACCAGGACATCCTGGTCCGAAGGGAAGCCCCGGGAAGCCAGGACCAAAGGGTAACCGCGGAGATACGGGTGGTGAGGGGCCACCGGGTGGCACTGGGCCGGGTGGACCCCGTGGAGAAGCCGGTAGTCCTGGACTAAAAGGTGATAAGGGAGAGAACGGTGGTCAAGGAATAAAAGGGCAGCGAGGGTTACCTGGATTAACTGGCCTGCCAGGAGCACAGGGTGTAAAAGGAGACGCCGGATCGAGAGGACCGACAGGTTTTCCAGGTGTACATGGTCCAAAAGGATCAAAAGGAGACACTGGAGATATTGGATTGCCGGGGAAAAAGGGTGAACCTGGCATTAGAGGAACTAGGGGACAGAAAGGGGAACGAGGTATCCCAGGCCCCGCAGGTCCACAAGGTAACCAAGGTGACAAAGGAATGAAGGGGGTCAAAGGAGCCATGGGTCCGCAAGGCCCCAAAGGACAAACTGGGAGGTCAGGCACCATGAGCAAGGGCATCAAAGGAGAGGCTGGACCTCCTGGTAGACGGGGAATGAAAGGCGAAACGGGCCCAATCGGACCAAACGGAATCCCAGGGCGCCCAGGACCTGCAGGTGCCAAAGGATCAAAGGGCGTTAAAGGGCAGCAAGGGTCAGCAGGACTAAAGGGTGAACGCGGAGTTGCAGGCGCTCCAGGCCAGGCAGGGTCTACGGGTGCCAGAGGACCAAAAGGTCAGAAAGGTCAAAACGGTTCTCCTGGTCCACGTGGTTTGAAAGGGACACCTGGAATACAGGGCCCTAGAGGACCACAAGGTCCACAGGGTTCACAGGGACCAAAAGGGGCGCCCGGAGCGAGAGGACCCAAAGGTGAAACGGGTGCGAAAGGAAGTCTTGGACACCGTGGCCCTTCCGGACCAAAAGGCCTCCCAGGTGCAGTAGGGTCGAAAGGGAGCCCAGGCCCTCGTGGGCTGTCAGGAGCAGCAGGGCTAAAAGGAGCAAAAGGGGCCTCCGGTCCAAGAGGTTTGAAAGGGGCAAATGGTTCGAAGGGGAATCAAGGACCACGTGGAATGCCTGGTCCTAAAGGAGTTAAGGGTTCCGCAGGAGCCAGGGGCAGTACCGGGGCAAAAGGACAGAAAGGTCAGCCTGGTGCTCGTGGTCTTCAAGGATTGCGTGGGTCACCGGGGCCTCGGGGACCTGCTGGTCCTACAGGGGCAACTGGACCAAAAGGTCTCAAAGGAGAGCGTGGATCAGGGTCGACTCGAGGTGAGTTACCTTTTCGTCAGAAATTAAACCTCGCTAATATCTGTTTTTGCCGAGCATATTTTCAAGGGAATTAACCCCGCAAATAATACAATAATTATTCCCGTATTCCCTTGTTTATTTATATCTCGTTTATAATTGAAATTGTTGTAAATAAGATCAATGCGCATGGTACTTTAAAACTTGAATTCTATCCCGCAGTTGTCCGTCTGGTCGGTGGCAGAGCATCCTACCAGGGTCGAGTTGAAATCTACCACAACGGCCGATGGGGGAGCGTGTGTGACGATAACTTTAGTGCCGTAGACGCCAAAGTGGTCTGTAGGGAACTAGGCCTCCCTTACGGCAGAGTGACAGTTCAGAACTCTGCGCACTACGGAAGCAGCAGCGGACCAATTTGGCTGGATGACGTCAACTGCAGAGGCACGGAGGCTAGCTTAGTGCAATGCACACATCTGGGTTGGGGCATACATAACTGCAACCATAATGAAGATGTTGGCGTGACCTGCAGATAACTAGCTTTCGTAACTTTGCAGGAAGACATTTGAATAGCGATTTGAGAGGTCAAAAAGCATCAACAATAGGCCTACTTATGATTTAACATGATTATGCAGTTTTAAAGTGTATTTCGTACTCCAACACAACAAAATTTGCGAAATGCAGGACATTTCTATGTTCTAAACTGGCCTAAATGTTGTGCAAACTTTACTTTTTTCATGACGATTTAAGTTTTATAATAATTTATATGTAGAACCGGGGAAAGTGTTATTAAAGTTAAAATTTGATGTACATTTGTACCATAACGACAATAGCAGATAGGTAAAACATCAATGTCATTTTAGTTAAGGCGCCATAAAATGTGTTCTAACGACTATTTTTTATCATAGTGGGTAAATTTACAAGTGGGATTTTGTAAGTAAAATATACCACATGAATGTTAAAAAATTACTTCTGTTTGTTCGATCGAGATTTGCAAATTAAAAGTAAACAAAATAGCAATACTGAAATATATTGTATGTTTCCTAATGTCAAAATTATTCAATTATTTACCAAACAACTATGTGACCCTTTGAAATGTGCCATGCTAAAACATGATTTATTGAATTTTTGTGGGGGTGTCGGTGAAAAAAGTGGATACAATGTATACAAGCTGGGCTTTATTTTTGGTTGAGTGTTTCAGAGAGAAGAATTTTGATAAATATTGTATATTATATATTATATATGTACATTGTTAATAAATATCTAAGTAGACGAGGAAAATAGCGCACAAATATAATATGGGCCTGCTAACTGAAAATTTGCTCCGAAAACTGGAAAAAACATAACATTTTGCATAGATCTGTTTGGAGCATAACATTTGCCATGTTTAAAGGGAGACCAGTCGAAAATTTCAGCCCATTTAGTGTTTGAAAAACCTGTGTGAAAATGTTCTTCCTTTTAACCATACCCGTAATTACAATACTCATAAATTTTTTGGGTTGTGACACCCACCCGTAGTTGCCATGTGTCACTTACAAACTTTGATTGCTTAGACTGGATAAAATTACATAAAAATACATTAAAAAGACAAACGCCTTTTAACACACTTCTGTTTGAGCCCTAGACCAGTGAAATGACATATTACAAATAGACCAAGCGGAAATGCGATAAAAAAATAAAAATATAGTGGCAATTTGAGGTAAAATATTTGGTCCCAGCACTGCTTTTATGGAGCATTTTAGTGCAAGTGAAGTCATTAAAATATTCTATGATTTTTATGTAGGCCACCACATATTAACAACCATTTCTTTTCAATGTTAATACAAACAGAAGTAGTTGAAGATGTGGGTGCAAAGCGTGCGCTCTACCACTGAGCTACATCTACTTTTGACTTTACAATGTAGCAATAAGACTGTTCTGCAGAATTTTTATACATCTTTCAATAACTCGGTAAAATATTAGCTTTATGCTCAATTATATCAGCCTTATAAACATTGACTTAGTTGGGACCTGACATGTCTTTGAGCATATAGATAGCGAACGATGAAAATACTGAATTTCAAAGAAGAAAAAATCCGTGAACGACCCTTTGAAAATTCCCAACACTTATAGTATTACCAAATTATACGCAACAAGACATCTGTTCAACTTTAACTACACAACTGTACATTACTATTATTATATATTAATACATATCAACACGTTATAACACCCCATCATCATCAATCGATTGATATAAGCCTATTACATCAATAATTACACGTATCAATCAAGAAGTGCACTAAGATCAATACGTGATAGAGAAATAAAATAGTATACAGTGTCAGTAACTTTGATGAAGCCAGGGTTGGAAACAACTTTTTATTAGGCTACATTAATATTTTTTTATTAATTGAGATTATATTTTCAAATAACTTTTAATAATAAGAAAAATGAGAAAGACAATTAGTCTGGATGATTGGTGCTATAAATTGTCCAAATTACTCAGAATGTGAAAAAAGCATGAAACTTGGCACAAACGTTCTTTGGACTATGCTGATAATTTTCAAGGGCAGTGCCCAAAATTTCAAAGCGTTGCTTAGCGACCCTTGCAATGGAAGTAAATTATCTTAGTAACAAACTATTTGGACCTTTCTTGTCCACTTTAAAAGATTTAGAAAGTTATTACAGGTATATCTAATATTGTTTATGTGAATGTTAATCAAAGAGTCTTAATCAAAGCCTTAAGGCACAAATGTTACAGCTCGGAATGAAATCCGCACGTTCAGGTGATGCCAAGTGTCACTAGTAGCGCGGCAAAGATTGAGGTAGTAAGGAAGACCGGGGCTAGTTGGACCCCGGGGTAAGTTGGCCCCCATCAATTTATGACAAAGTAACTATGGGGTAAAAAGAATTGATCACATCGTTTTGTATAGTGCTAAGAAAGCGTCGGCAGTGAGTTCAAATGAAATAATTTAGCATCTTAAACTAACTTGAGAGACTTGATGGGGGTCCAGCTTACCCCGGGGTCCAGCTAGCCCCGGTCTCACCTAGTCCCAAACACAAACGTGCAGAAAAAACAGAGTGCGAAAAGAGCAATGATTGCCGCCATTTTTTTTTTGTATACATAGATTCTGCGCATGCGCGATTATTCAAACCTGAACCCGCATCTGGATTTTCAGTAGGCGATTCGGTTCCGCTGTACTGTGTGTGGCCAGACAAGCGAATCGAATTTTTCACCCTTTATATTTCAAATATCCGGATATTTCAGATTGTAGTGTGAACGGGGTATTAGTTACAACAGGGTTTCAGGCAATGTAGCTGAAGAAGACCCGAAAGATGCACGTGATTGGAAACTTCGTTTGCTCCTTAATTATTTTATATTTTGTTCAAAGTCAGGGTAGAACTACAACTGGAGATTATGATATTTTGGAAAGATCAAATGAAATTCGGGTAAGAGTTTACTCCATGTCAAGATATCTCGTCGTTCAATTTGATTTTTGTTTTCTTTATATCAGTTTTATTTTTTATTGGTTTACTGTGTAAATTTTGAAAATATGTGATCGTCTAGTTTTTTAGTCTGATCTCTCTATATAATAAGAATAACTCAGAGTACATCTGAAAACAAGGGTTGTAATGGGACACTAGGGAAACAATGATACGAGATAGGAAAAATGTTCTTAATTTGATAAGACCTCACAGTGCATGTCTTAATGCATGTCTCAATGCAGAAACTTGGAAAGTGTATTCAATTCCATAGCATACGGTACATATTCATCTTTAAGCCGTCAACGATAATGTAATCAACATTAACATTAGCTGTGTTCTTGATTTTGTTGTATATTGAATCACGCCCGCAGATTTATCATTGACCAGGAAATACTCTTTAATATCAATAGCATGAGGTTCATACTGTATATTAACAGGGAGTTAATATACAGTATGAAGGCAGGGAGAGAATTATGAAATGAAGTTGATGTTAGTGTTTCCATATCCTCATAACTACTATGGTATATACAGACCTGACATTTAATGTGAATTTTTTTAAATATATAAATGAAAACAAGGATTTATATTGTGTTTTATTGCCTTTTTACAATTAATTCAAGGTAATTCTAATATTATTTCAAACAACAAAAATACATGGCTGAGTCATACAACGACCATTAAAAGCGATATTTCAATCTTCAAATTTTCCAAATTATCACCTGTGAAAGAGTTATGCGCCCAACAAAGGAAGATCATATCAGTGATCATATCATATCTAGTTACAGCAGCGGTCAGTGGTGCTTCATCTGGCTGCTTACCAGGGCTCTCAAGCGGCAGATATACTTACTGACAGGTTTCTTGGAGTTTGATCTGGGAAATATAATTCCAGGCATCGATAGCAGTTTGTTCAATTCGATTCATATTTGTTCTAGGACCAGTAGGTTGTTGATACGACGAGTACTGGCTACCCACAGATTGTCTATAGGCTTCAGATCTGGCGACCTTGGTGGCCGCGGTAGCTGCTCAGACCTTGGTTTTACAAGTTATCTTCAATTGCAAGTGCTCTGTTTGAGAAAATTGTTCTCGAGGTCCTCACTAACAAATGGGAGGCAGCTGGTTTCCAGGACATTCCTGTATTTGATCTAGTTCAGGTTTCCGTCGATGACTACCAATGAGGTTTTGGCACCAACGTGAATTCCGCACTAAATACACCGCCCCGCCACACTTAGTCAGGGGTCTCTTCGGAATATTTGTGAAGTCTAATTTGAGCAGCTTGGCGTTACAGATGAAATCTGATCTCATAAGAGAAAAGCACATGGTCTCAATGATGTGCCCAAAGAGGTTGATGGTTCCCATCTCATAGCAGAAGTGAACGACGATTTTGAGGCTTCCTCAGAGGTCGCCTGGTATAGGCCTACTAACCTGCTTAAACCAGTCCAGTAGTAGCAAAGGGTCTTGCAAACACTTACTAATGGCAATCTCTCCCTCAGTCTGAAGGGAATGGGTTGTCTTTGTTTAGTTGGAGTAGCAACGTCATACGTAACACACCCAAACCCAATATAGAGGTGCAATTGATGTCACAAGCATGTTATTAAAAATATTTACTGCACAGATTGCTAACTGTGTTTGATTATTTTAGGGTCCCACATGAAGAAGCTTGTATTAAAGTTTCACTCTCCTGGAACCATGAATAATTAAAAATAATTAATCGTTTAACCCCAAAAAGGAACATACGTTACTGTCACAAATACAAAACGTCCAACTGTGAAACGTTCTACTCACTTGGAAAATTCAGTCATCACTGGTTTTGTTCATTGATTTATCTCCTACAAGTATAACGTTGCTAAAAATTATAATAATCTTCTGTATAGAGCAGTTAATTGTTTTTGACTTTAGTTTGCTTGTCACAGAATATTAAAAAAAATAGGGAAAATACACCCTACCGACAGTGAAATAAGCATTAAATAAAAATTTTTCCCTTCATGATCCAAATATTATATCAGAAATGTCAAACTATCATGGAACCATAATATATTGTTCGGTAAGCAAAAGAAAACATTGTATCTCTTGCACACAAGTATTTGAACAAAATGAAACATTTTGACATTTTTTCTAGGGAACATCGTTACCTAGTATAAGGCCACACTTTTTTATTTTTATGGATGACATCCTCTGGGTACCCCAAAATCGGTGCGAGAGGGCGAAAAAAAAAACAGTCCAAAAAAAAAAACTGCTTAAGTAAAGGAATGCTGTCAGTACACAGCTGGAAACACAAATTTAACCACAGAAACACGTATCAAACTAACAATATGTCTTTATCCATGCTCTCAAAATATTAAAGCATTGTGAATACTTCGTAGAAATGTAAAAAAAGTCATGAATTGATATACTTCATATTACCAAATCTATTTAAGGTTATTTCATGCATTCATTTGGTATAGCAATCAATAAAACAAATATCAATCAAACAGTGTGTCTTTATTTGTATTCTCAGAATATTAAAACATTTTGAACACTTCACAGAAATGTTTAAAAAATGATGCAAAGATATGCTTAATACTACCAAATCTATT